CCCATCTTCCCAGCACTCATATAACACATTGAAACTATTAATGGCTTTTGCCTCCACCACCACTTTATTTAACTTGTTCCATCCATCTACTGTTTGCAAAGGAAAACTTTCTAGTATTGTTTTGTTTCCTTAGCTTGAATCACTGGTTTCAGGAATTCGTCTGTTAATTTGGTCAGTTCCTGTTATTATTTTGTGAGGGGTGATCATATCTCCTCCATTTTCTTCTATTATCTAGGGTTGGCATATTTAATGCCTCTAGCCTTTCTTTGTAGGTCTTGTTTTTCAGTTCCAAGAGCCATTTAGTAGCATGCTTTTGCACCTTTTCTAGTTTGTTGATGTGCTTCTTGAGACAGGGGCCCCATACAACTGCTGCATATTCCAATTTTGGTCTCACAAAAGTCATGAACAGTTTAAGTATTTCACCATCCAAGTAATTAAATAGTTGAAAAAGTGACACACATGCTCCTCGCACAATGTTCTTTGTGTGCCTCTGGTGACAGTCTATTATCCAGAATCTTCCCTGGTGTGCGTATCCAGAAACACCCCTGGTGTGTGCGAGAGCATGTCATGTGTGTAAGTATAAATTTTTATTTTGAGTTGCACATAGGTATACAGTCATGTACTTTTTATTTATTACCTTCGGAAAGTTAAATTTAGCGAGTTGAAATATAGTACACTTTGGATAATTGTTAATATAAAATGCACAAAATTATGCAGTATGATTTATCTTTAATTTTGCTCAAAATTAAGTGTGTATCATTCAGGCACATCTATTTTCTTCCTCCCTTTTGCTTTTGTCCTCTATACCCGATGTCACACTCCCTCCTGGGCGCTCACTGTCGGGAGGTAGCTACATCAGGAGTGTTTCAATGAAGCTTTAGCACCTCCCAATTTAAAATATTTCACTCTTCCTCTTACAAAATGCCATGCGTCTACTTCTGTCATATGATTGCTCTATTTCATCTTTGTACACCTTTCTCAAACAATTCTCTGGTATTCTGTTTACATGTCCATATGACCACAATGTATTGTGCTCAAACCGTTCAACATTTCGACATCTCATTTCCTCACTCCCTTAACTCATACCATCTCTCTGATACATAAATTCATTCCACTTACTAAAACCAGCTGCTTTTCTAATTTATTTTCACTATGTAAAAGTTTCACTTCACATGTCATAGCTGGGTGTAATATATTGTTCTGAACTCCTTTACTAACATTCCTTGCTTTCATTTTACTATTCGTGCCTCTAACCATTCTTCTTCCTCACATTGTCCTCATACTTTCCCTTCCATACTTTCCTTTTTTAACCCATAGACAGTAGTTACCGTCATTCGTTGATTCACGAGGTAATTCGGTTATTATCTTCTCCAGCTCTCATTTATTCCATTTACATTAATTTTCATTTGATTCTGTATACATTTACTCCAAAAGTTACCTCTAGTTTTACCTGTTTTTTCACAAACCTTCATATTGGGGGGGGGGTGTTACCCCAGTAGGGACTAGGGGGTTTGGTTGTCTTGCCGCACAATAATTTCTGGCCTGAATCCGGAAAGGAGAGAACCCCTTTCCTGTGCCGTTACACAACAAATAGTTTAATAATGAAAACACTAAAAGAAGGCATATAGTGAGACTTGGATATCATTAAATAAGATATCCCTCACCAAGGTATTAATTAATAATTTCATGGCAAAATTTTTTCCCAAATGTGTGTGTGTGTGTGTGCCAGAAGCAGCCTCGTAGGCCATATTAGTTACAATACTGTTACTGCTTGACAAGGTAGCTGTCATATAATGCTCCCATGTAGTAACTGCTTAACTTGATAGCCAGGCAAGCATATAAAATGGCTGCTTATATTTGAAGTGCTCATGCAAAATATTTTGTATATCTGAAAACCCTTGATTGTGCCCCTCGCCTTCAAAGGTGTTATTGAAAATGGATTAGTATTGTGGGTTCAAGCTAGTGTTCATACTGAATGAAATATTCATGGATAATATAGTGCTTGGCAAAACCCTTTTGTTGGAAAAGATATGCTCTCAATTTGTACATGGAATGAATTATGGGAAATCAGATTATATAAAAACTCAATTTAAATGACTTAAATAATATAGAATTTATATATTAAATTTTAGACAAGCATACACTAAGCAATTGTCATTTCTTCACTAAAATTGTTGTTTTAATGGAGGTGAGATCATTGTAGCCTTTAATGAACTTGAAGCCAATGATTTAAACTGCAGTCTTTAGTGTGCATATGTACTAAGGCTCACAATCTCTGCTTTTAAATTATTCAATAGCTGAATTTCAAGTTTTGACTTTGAGATTTATGTATGTAAGAATAGTTCAGTAAGTGCTTAAATGTTAACATCTTGCGAGTGGTGAGGTTCAGGCATAATTATGTCAATGCAGGAATAGTGTCTAACCAGACATAACATAAGTTTCAGGTGCCACCATGTGGTATGACCACACTTGCCGTATCTAGACAATGAGGGTTCCTGAAATAAAAAAAAAATATATATATATATATATATATATTGTGGGTGAATCATATATTTATGCTTCACAAATAAATCATATATTTATGAATCACAGGAAAGCAAATACTTTAGGTACATAAAATAAGAAACTCTTACCATGTGCTAATTCCAAATGACTTTGGCCTGAGGTTCCCCATCTGTATTTTAAATTGTAGATGCTGATAACTTGCCTGCCTCTGTAATACATAATTGATCTTCAAATATTCTTTTGTATCATCCGTAATGCCATTCAAAAATTGGTCTAAAACTAATTCCTTCGTCATTCATTTGTCCATTTTTTGACTACATTATTCACTTATACATTGTTTATCTTGTCAACCACCTTCCTAATTTTAAGTATTTTTTCATCGGGCAATTAACTGTCCAATTTTTTTAACACCATTAATTGCCTGTTTTATTGTAAGATTACTATTATATCTGTTTTTAAACTCCTTTTCTTAGACTCCCAGTTTCTTAGTCACCAAGTTTGACTTCTTTGTTTCTGCATATTTTTGTGAAAAGTCTCTCATTGCATGGTCTGTGCTGTGTGCACACTTCATTATATTTTTCCTAATATCCTTTATTGCTACTTTTGATTCAAAAGTTGATCAGCCTTAACTGTCACCCCTTTCCAAAAGTAGTTTTGTTTCATACTTTTTCCCAGTTAATTTTATCTTTGGCTTACTTATAAACTACATTTATAAACTTATTCACAATGCCCAACTTGTCTTTGTATAATTTTTACACTTGCCTGGATTATTTCCATTATTTTCCCATTTTTTCCATTATCTATTATAATAATGGTACTGTACTTAGTCAGTCTCTAAGCTACTCCAACTATAAAGACTATCCTATGTCTAAGTAGGTTTTTTGGTATATTATCTTAATTTATATAATAAATTATAAAGGTGAAGGAGAGACTCCATATATGTGCATGAGTATATAAACAATTTTTGGATGCAACCTTTCTCAAGGATATAGGTTGCATCTGAAAATTTGGTTTTAATATTATTTTACACATTGGAGCTTTCCTTCACCTTCATTCAAGCCCTACAGCAATGTAGTAAGTTTCCCCATAAAAATTTATCTTAATTTACAATGGGATGCAGTATGATGTTGCTGTCATGGCACTGTTTCTTGTATCATAAGATTACTTTCCTTACTCTTTTAAGTCGATAAAACTGCTTCCATGATGGTTTTTCCAGATCTTTATGGCTTTCACCTCATGTTCTGGTCTGATTATCATCTTGTCTCTTAACTCTTATTTAATAAGATTATGCACCTAACTCACAATACCATCACCTTCATACATCATCCTGTGAAGCTCAGCTAATATAAAATGCAAATTTGAGGGGTCTCTTCAGAGATTTAGTAGAATAAGCATGACAACTACAAGTAACATGTAACAAAAATGTCATAAATACACACAAGTGCATATAAACCATGAAATTATTTTCTTGCACAATTTTCTGGGTGACTTTAAAAGGAGTGTGTATGTATGTACATATATATTTGTACTGCATATAAATATATTAATAGCTAAATTTAGTGGTTACTCATGGATGGGCAGAATAATAAGTTGGTGTGTATTATAGGGCTGGTAATGGTTAAAGAGTTAACTGAGAATGAGTTTCGAGCTTATATGAGTAATTTGCAGTATTGACTCCTGCTGCGCTATATGTTAAAGTGTCCGCCTATGTTTTAAGATGGCCCCCCCACACCCGGTGAGTGAGAAGTAGAGGTGGACGGGAGAGGCCGGGAGGTTACCAAGAACACCCGGACGTACCCCTGCCGTCCCACACTGTCCCAGGGGGCCGGCCCGTCCCACCCAGCTGGACCGAGGGCCTGACCAATATTCTGCGTAGCATGAGTTACGCCCACATTAGGGTATAACTACTTGCTGTTGCCTTCATACATGATTATATCATCAGTGGTTTGAGAAAGTCCCATTCTTTGCTTTCCTTATTTCCTCCTTGGTTATTGTTTGTATGAATGCTTGCTCTAGTTCCGTGTTGTAGCTGAAGCATCATCTCCTTAACACTTAGCCTTTCCATTAAGTCAGGCACACAAGTCAGTTGTCAGACTAGAACAAGGGGGGGGGGAAGAGCATGTTGGTGATTGGCCAAATACAAGCTCCTGCTGGGGGACAAGCCCACCCAGCAGTATGGAAGGCACTTTACAGGAAGGCAGGGAAGCTGACACAGTGCATGATTGTAAATGCCAGATACTCTTCATCTGACAGGATATTGTTCACTGAGAAGCTACAGTGAATTAATGAATTAGGTAGGAGTAAAGAGAGGAGTCCCTAACTGAGACAGTGACCTTCTCCTAATGTGAATTATATATACTGTTCATTCACTTAATTTTAGCCCCTTCATTTAGGTTTCATTTAAATTTCTGGTAGTCAGCTAGAAATGGAAAATTTCACTTATGTAAAATATAGGATCAAGGTTGTAACTGTTTATTTTTCTCGATTTACTTCAGGATCTCAAGGATTATATGCGTAAAGCTGGAGAAATTACATTTGCTGATGCTCACAAACATCGTCGTTATGAAGGGTAAGTGTTTTGAAAGTGTAACTTTTGTCTGTCCTCTAAATATAATCATGCTTTCAATTGATACTAAATATAAGTTGTAAGTAGTTTGTTACTAAGCTGCAGCCTGTTTTCAGTGTTGTGGAGTTTGCTACCCGTTCAGATATGAAGAGGGCCATTGACAAGTTAGACGATACTGAACTTAATGGGCGACGCATTCGTTTGATTGAGGACCGTTCTCGATCAAGATCTCGCTCGCGTCGTCGTTCAAGGACAAGATCGCGGTCACGGTCCAGGAGGTCTCGTTCACGCTCAAGGTATGATTGTTTAATAAGACCGAGTAGTGCTTTGATATATTTTATATATAGGAGTAGCCATTGTGAGTGTCTTAATTTCCCTATTTCTTAGCCATGTATTTGCCACATGAAGGCAAGGGCAATGAATGACCTCCAGGTTATTAAATTATAAACGAAGCCTTTCCATGTAATACTTGGTATAAGATTTTAAATTCTTATTTCTCAAAATAGTATTACAGGTATTTTCAGTCAGTGATGTACAAAGAGCTAAGTTCAAAGTAGATTATATGCTGTTGGTGCAAATGTCATTGGGAATAACTTGATTAATAAATAAATTAAAATTTTAGAATTATCATCATCTTGAGATGATTTCGGGGCTCAGCTTGCCTGCGGCCCGGTCCTCGACCAGGCCTCCTTTTTTATTACACCCCCCCCCCCCAGGAAGCAGCCCATAGCAACTATCTGACTCCCAGGTACCTATTTACTGCTAGGTAACGGGCATCAGGGTGAAAGAACCTCTGCCCATTTGTTTCCTGTTTCCGTCTCCACCGGAGATCGAACCTCAGGACTAGAATCTAAAGCGCTGTCCACTCAGCTCTCAGGCCCCTTTTGTTATATTTATTGTATTTATTTGCTGCATTTTTAAATTAATAATGACTTATTTTAAATGTTCTTTTAACAGGTCACGTACAAGAAGCCGGTCTCGTTCTCGTGGGTCACGAAGATCTCGCTCTAAGTCACGATCTAGGTCTAGGTCAAGGGATTCACGTTCACGGTCAAGGTCAAGGTCACATTCAAGGTCACGTTCAAGATCAAGATCCAAGTCACGCTCCAGATCAAGATCGAAATCCAAGTGAGTTGCTGTGTTTATATGTACTGTATGTATATTTACAAACATGTTCTAAGCATGCATTATTGGTGGTATTTGACCATAGTAGTGTGTGTTGAAGTCTGTACACAATTCAATTAGGTTTTTTCCTTGCTCTATGCTCTACTTAGTTAATTTTAAAGAATGTTTATATATTATCTGTATTTAGATTAAACTTTATATGATAAAACCATGTTTACATAATTTGTGTTTAATATTAATGTTGTTATTATTTAACATTTCAGTGATGCAAAGAGATCAAAATCTAGAGAACATGATAGCCGCTCAAGGTCTGGTTCTCGCAAGTTGTCGCCAGAACCTACTAGCAAATCTAAAGATGACGACCAAACCCGAAATGAGTCCCGCAGTCGCTCAAGGTCCAGATCACGCTCTCCTGTAAATGCAAAACTGGAAGTCTCAAGGTCACACTCACGAACACCATCTCGATCACCTAGACCTAGAGAAAGTCGTTCACGATCACAGTCTCCTCAAGAGAACGGACACGACCAACCTGATAATGAATAAGGATTTCATTTAGGGCTTAAATAATATCATTATAAATATGCTGATGATATTTTCAAAAAGTAATAAGCATATTAAGATATCTTTATTGATGAAAACTTTTTTTTTTAAAGCTTAGTTTAATGCATCAAAGGTACATTACAAAAGATCGCTAATTTGACATATTGTATTTATATCCTATTATGGTGATACAAAGAAACTGATTTGATATACTGTACTTCATCCCATTAGGGTGATAGTTGTGTGTGGTTTACATGAAGGCACTGTATGAGGGTAGACCTGATAGTAATCCTTGCCATTTTAGTGTAAACAGCATGATTAAGTTCTTTGTATATTTCTTGCCACTTAAAAAAAATTCTTGTTCTGGTTATTTTTGTGTAATTGATTCACAACTTGTAATGAATATAATGGGTGTCATTCATCGTTTCTCTTAAATGTCGGAATATGGTTAAGTTCATTAAGCAAAAATGTGTTGTTAAATTTTTAAGTTTATTATTCAGCTATGGTTTGCTAAAAATAGTACAAATAACATCTTTCTGGCATTTTTTGTGTGAACATTTGTTGGCAAATCATTTGTATTTCCATAATGTATTAGCATCAAAGTTTGTATGGAATAGATGCACTTGGCAAATTATCGTGTTATTTAGGGGTTTGGGTCACCTTTCATTTTGAACTGAAAATGTTTATGAAGGATAAACTTCAATCTTTCATTACAATGGATAGATTTGTATTGTTTGTAATATTTCTATGCTGGTTTTTAATAATGTATTTATTAATAAGTATATTAAGAAAATAACTTAAGAATCTAGATACTCATTTCCCTATATAAGTATGATAGTTTTGCCAAATGTTGTCCAATATTAAAAATAAACTATTATGGTAAGATGAAACTATACCTGTGGTTTTGGAACCAATGTGTTACTTCAGAATTAATCCATATATTATATGCTTAGATTTTATAAATTACTGTACTGTCCTCTGTAGGAGTTCTGAATTAGTGGATACATTAGTCGTCAAACAATTTTTGTATTTTTTTAGAGAGATCTTCAGCAGGACTTTAGCTTTACAGGATGCTGGTAGTTATGACTACTATAGTTTTACTGCTAGGATTTTTTTTTTTATAAGCAAACGTGAGAACATAGTGTTTAATTTAATCGGTAAATACACTGTATTCAGTATACTTTGTCTCCTACTTTCAAAAATTTAAAATTTGCCTTGACTAAAAGCCAATTGAGAGGTATCCATGGACAAGGAAATCATGGGATATGTGCTAACTAGTGTAGTGATTACTGGAGTAATAAACACATGCAAGTGATAACTTTCTGGGCATGGCTCATTTTAATAATTTCTGGGTGATGACCTCTATTCTCGATCATTGCTTTAACCTTATCTTTAGTAGCACTTCAATGGAAATGAGAGCCGTATTACTGTCTTAAAGCAGCTGTGCACCATACTGATTGTCTTTCTTCCCCTGTCCAGAGCTTGTATATTGAGACCAGCATCCTGTATACATGATCATCTTGATCGTTACTGCTTTTTGTTACCTCCCATGGTTCCTGCAACATCCTTGCTCTCACTTGTGCCATGCTTTGAATATCTGCTTCTCAAGACAGGCCTGTTCCCTCTCGCCGCTTTCCTTTTCCTGCAAGGGTGGCTCATTTGCAACATTTTCATTGTTCATATTAGCAAGGCTCATTTCCAACATTCTTTCATTGTTTATATTAGCAATGTCTCTCCTTTTGTTATTCCTACTTTGCACACATGGAGCCCTAACACGTAATAGACGATCGGAAATGTCTTTGGTTAGATTGTGTATCGGTTTATGCGTTTCCCCCCGTGGGATCAGGGTCTTGTTTCTTTTATGAATCTGGCTTCATTCAGGCCATTTCGCTTGCCCAACACGTCCTAGCTTACTGACAACTCCATCTTTTTCTTGCCAGTTTAACGTGGCTTCTATTTTAACTTTTGACACTTTAGTGGTGGGAAGTGTATGTCCTGGACCATTCTCAAGTCGATTGTCTTGAGAATCTCGAGATAGGTCTAGGACCGACCGAAACGTCGTTGTCCCTTCTTCTAGTGTGTGGTCTGGTCAACGTACTTAAGCCACGTTGTGACTCATCGCCTGCATCACAGGGCTTGTGATGCAGGCGGCCATTTTGCACATCTGGCCAGTTGTTGAGCTATACTCTGATCATCTCTGTGATGGCTTGGATATTCTGGCATTTTTTTCCTGGTGGTGGTGCCTGTGGTTCTTGCTTTAGTGGCTCTTCACAAGTTGCTCACCTGTGTCAGCCCAGTTCTTGGACTTGGCCTGGTCCTTGAACCCTTTTTCACCTCTTCCTTGAGGTTGTCCTTGTTATTTCAGTAGCTGCTACCTCTCAGCCTCAGTTGGGTTCTACAAAAGGGTTCTGTCTGCTCTGCTCAGTGGTGGTCTGGCATGGTTGGGGCCTCACCTGCTGCTGGTCAGGGTAAGCCTATGATAGTGTGTCCCAGGTCCTTGCACTTCCATTATCTTCTGCTCTGGGGTTCTTGTGCTGGCTCTTTCATGGTTTGTCCCCTTTGATGGTGTTATGGAGATATAATCAGGCTCGTTTTACCATTTCTGGTCCCATAACTTGTGGGTTCACTGGGTAATTTCACAGAATTTGGTCTCCCTCGCCCCTTATCGGTTAGGTTTAGTGGTGTTGGGTCAGGAGCTGCCCCCCATGGTCATTCACACTCTCTTTAGTGGGTGTTCTGGTTCTCCTTGATCCCCAAGCTGGACTGGGCCAAAGGTGTATTATCAACCTCCTGGAATTGCACAGTTTCATTTCCTATCTGCATAATCACTTTAGCTCAGGTTCACCAACCACACCTTTTGGGGGTTTGTCTTGGCCTATCTCGACAACTGGCTGTTTTGGACTTCCAAACAGCCACCTTGTCAGGAATCTCCCAGCTTGCCAGGGTTGGGTTTCTGGTGAACTGACAATCCCCCCCTAATTGTTTCCATTCCAAGTTTAGATCTGTTGTCTCTCTCTCTCTCTCCCTCCCTGCCTCTAGCAGCTCTGCTCTGCCTGGGGTCAACATTTGGTGTTGGACCAGAACTAGGTGACTTCTCTGTTGGTCAAGTAGTTGTGTGGGAGCCTTAACTCGGCCTGCAGGGTTTGGCTCCAGGTGCTATACTGGTTCCTCTGGTTTTGCCGCTGTCAGGATTATTGAGTTTCTGCTCTGCCTGTCATCGGCTATCTCTTTGGGCTTTTCGGATTTGGTTCCATGTTACCATCCTCACTTGTTGCTCAATGTATTCACAATGCTCTGAGTTAGGGCTGTGTGATCAGTGCTTGCTAAGCCTTCCAGGATTTAGGCTTGGTTGGGTTCACAACATGGTACGCCAGTTTGTGACGGGCCCTTCACAGGATTTGTGAAGGTTCCTCTAGCTTCCTGGTCATTCATTATTTAAACCATTAAGGGTCACTCCAGTCCTTTCTCCTTTGGAGCTGAACACTTTATGCACCTTAGCTTGATATACAAGTAAATGGGAACAAAAGTCCAAAGAATAATAACTGAAAAGAAGTGGGACTTGCCTGTGGCTGGCTGCTACCTTGGGAAGATTAATTACCAAGACCCCCCAATAACAAGACTGACCGTTGGCTGGGGCAGAAGCATGAACTCCTTGGGCACCACTTTCACGTTTGTCGACCTTGCAGCATTGCTTCCTTGATGTAGGAATAATCATAATCCCCACCACCCTGTGCCTTTGAGGTGGGGGGGGGGGGGATGGACCAGGTTCTGACTGGTCCCTGACAGGACTTTTATGACTGATGTGACTCGGTGAGGTAGCCTCAAGAAGCAACCCATCCGCTAAACAAAGACCCTAAGTCCATTCCATGTACCCACCAAACTTGGTTTACACACTATTCACAACTAATGACGTTCGAACACTTTTGGAACAAGTGCTTTGCTGACGACTTTTGTTTGAACTACAACCCTATAAGTGCTCTACCCACTGACTACAAATACAAATAATTGCCAACAGAACTGAAATGCCTAACCAGTGCCTAAATATGTACAATATGGTAATATAAAATATTAATTTAAACAAATCTACAAGGGCTGTGATGAGGGTTCAAGTCTACACAGGACGTTCCCTCGTGGCCCTTGTAGATTTTTTCATTTTATATATCACTATTGTGATTTCTGTGTGTATTAATTTATATTTGAGAATACTACTGTTTTGAATGAACAGCATGTTAAAATTGAAAAATGTGTCTTTGGGGTCATCCGCTGGATGGAATGGATTTGGTCTGAGGACGGGTTGCAGGAAGCCACCAGAGGCTCTTCCAGAAAAAAAAAATTCTCAAAATTTGAACAAAAGGGAACAATAAAATATAGCAACTAAATTACACTATATTTCCTGAGCACTCAATACTTGACTGAACATTAGATATTGATGCTTAACTATAGCCCACTTCTCCTTGGAGCTGCTCAAGCATTAGTTCAATCCTGCTACTCATAACTGGCTGACCTTTCTTAGTTTTCTGATTTAATTTTTTATAGCGTTGCAATCTCTTCTCTTTGTGCTTTCTCTTTGCTTCCTCAATTTCTTTTTTTCTTGTAGCTGATTCCTCTTTTATTTTTTCTATTTCTGAAATTTTCTTATGGTATTCTGCTCTAGCACGCTGCCAACTATTCAACCTCTTCTTCCTGAAATGAATGAGAGAGCATACAGTACTGGGTTAATTTGTATAATGAGGATGGGGTCATAATGGAGGTCAAGGTTATAATACACAAACAGGTTGTGAAAATATTGTACAAGATTAATAGAGTACTGCATTTTATAGAATTAAGTATTAAATTTATATTTACAAAAAAGGTAAGTAAATTTTAAAACTGTTAAGTTTTAAAATTTAAAATTTGGATTGCAAAAATCTGGATTTTTGCAATCCCCCCCCCCAAATTGGGGATGGGGGGGGGGGACCTTCAACAAGCCGTTGAATTCCTGTCCTCTTCGAGACCACTAGGGTTAATGGCCTTCAGGTAAATCAGGTATGCAGAGTGCACTTATAGGACAAAATTAGATACATATATACTGTACATCAGTTAAAAGTTAAGTAGATGTGAGAAGATTGCTGAATGTAAATAAATGCAAAGTAATAGGGGTGGGAAGAGAAGGCAACTTAGCATACAAAATAGGAGTAAATGGAAATTGTAGAACAGACGAAATACTACAAACAGATGTCTAGCTGACTAAAGCGGAGTTTGTGTGGAGCAAGTCCTGGAAGATGAGCGACTGGTTCAATGATAGACTAGTTGGCAAAAAAACAAGATAACATATAGGACATGTCTTGCCCACGCTGGACAATTATAAAAAAATTTCCATCAATAAGCTAAAATGTTAACATAATACTGTACACCTGTACTGCATGTGCATCATTCAATACATACTGTATATACAGCACATATAATTACAGTACAGTATATTAATTTGATTATTATTTATTTATTGGGTATTTCAACTCAAGGGTGGTATACCACTACTTAAGTGAATGTGATTGAACTGTTTGCTAAAAATGACACCACTTTGTTTGAGTGTGGTAGGTCTTCACCTCTAGTACCAAATGTATATAACCAGTCCAAAAGTTGTTCTCTGACATCCATATGCTATTTTGGGCCTTATAAATAACAAGATGAGTATTACAGTATATGGCCCTCTTTAAATAACCTTGGCATTTGGTATTTCCCAATCACATGTCAGCTGAATTTATAGTGCAGTCATTCCTGCTTTTACCCAGCAGAAGTGAAGCTTGCCACCGAGTCATGCTGGATGTGTGTAATATCTGCCAACATAAACCTGTCTCATCAGCACAAATTTGCCCAGGATAAATTCTTATATTGCACAATCCACTGAAATTTACTCACATACTGTACTTGTCTGCAGTGTCTCACTGGCCGGCTGCTATGGCCCTACTTGTCATTTTATACTTAAGAACTTTAGGATCACCATGGTATTAAGCCATCTAATTGGTTTAAGTTTCTTGCCTTTTCAATTCACAGCCATCTGGCTGCTCTTTTTTCCACTATTAGAAACTTATATTGTATATACAAAATAAATGTACTGATAATACTGTATCGCATGTCAGTATTATACTTGCTCCAAACTCTAGCTTATGTGCAGATAATGAAATGTGTTTGTTAATTCTACTTAGTCCACTAATGACAAATTCATACCTCTTTCCTAATTACAGTTAACACTACTTCCTAACCTATTAGTGGATGGTGAGGTTAGGTGTGGTCCGATTATATAAGCACATACATGTATATAACTTATGGGCTATTCATGCTCGTGTCACCTCTTGGGCGGCTTAATCTCCATCAATCAATCGAATAATCAGTACACACACAGTTACAGCCCCGCCCCTGTGTCAGGTAAGTCCACTACGGGCTCACCATAGCTAGTGCTACTTGGAACTTTTTGTTCTGAGTAGCCAAATCAAAAACAACAATGAATAATCATCAGTAATTTCAAGAGTGGTTCAGTACATATGCTTGAGAGATACCACACATCTTCAACATTCACCAACAAGAATGTAACACTCAACATGTTCAGTTCCTACTGACTCCATGACGCTTCCAGTTCCTACCGATTCCAAGACGCTTCAGCTTCGACACAGAGCAGACAGCCAGACTCCGGCCGTATCGAGCTTCCACGGTCTCATCCCGCATCAAGCTCTTCGACTTTGCCCGCATTCAGAGCACCACGCTCTACGACTCTCACCCTGCATTCATGCTTTCTACCCCTGACCTCAGCTCTCTGCCCTGCTCCAGGCTTCATTTCAACTTCTATGATACTTCACTACATTGCCAACAAACTGACTGCTGTAATCAAGACTACAGTATAATAAATAAATATTAAAAACTGCTAAAATCTGTGTGTCTAATCAACCAAACACACACACGTAATCTTACAACTGTAAACTTTGCGTAAACTTTAATACAATATAATACTACAGTACTTGTACTAAATTCTCATAAAAGCCTGGCTATAAATGTTTACCACCACAACAGTTCCCTCCCCCTAGTAAACATAAATGCAGTATGTACAACACCCGTTGCATTTTAAGGCTGATCAGCCAGCCAGCTTCTTGATTCACTTTCATATCTTTTCCTCTCTAGTGGAAAGAGAGCTTGGTTGAGCATGGAATTCAGACAATTTTTGTCGCTGTCTCAAACTACCAATACGGTACTCGATTTTATTAAAATAAAATTATCTACTACTGTATACACATTTATGCAAGTCTTGTCTTGCAGTACTGTATAGTATGTTAACAAAACTTCACAGTTTTCAGTACATAATTATATATCTAAACTCCTAATAAAGTGAGATGTCTCAAGCCTCAATGTCATATAAACACTACAGGTTGTGTCACAGTTAATCAAATTGTATATTACTGAAAATTCACACATACTTTATTTCAAGTTTCAATCAAGCCCATTTCACATTTCACCACACAAGATGCATTACTTACGGAAATTCTTGAGAAGAGACAGGCTGTCCAGCATCAGTAATTTCTTCTGTCAGTGTATCACTTACACTTTCAAGATCCAAATTTCCAAATTTATCTACAAGAAATTAGAAAGAAGAAGTATTATTGATCTTTTAATAGACAGGATTAAAAGTACAATGTGTGAAGAAAATTTCAGGTTTTTACATACTGTACTGTGCATGACATGGGTTGCAAATATGTAAATTGTACTGTATATTATTTGAACACTCCTGGTATCATGTAACTCAAAATTTGTCTAGTCATCACTGTGGCTTGGGGCATATTTTACAGTGAGGACCTTGTGTACACTGAATTTATTCCAAGTTATACAATCAACTAGGATTGCAAGGTAGTTTAAAATACAATTAGAAGAAGCAGTTTAAGAGTATCCATAGCTGACCTACCTTCTGGAATAAGTTCATAGTTGCATCACACGTTCAACATGTAACACATCACATAACACAATAATGCCTAAGCACTGCTTGCTACTACAGGGTTGGAAAGAGATGATATTCTTTGAGGGCTGAGTCGTGAGACATTGTGTATTTTTTCAGATAATACTTATTCAACCCTTGACACTGTCAAATTATGTTGTCCTAGAGTTTTTGTTTTCATGAACATACAAGACCATTCTACAAATACAGAAATACTGTATGATGCTGCTAATGTTTTTATGCAATATCCAGCCCTCTTTTTTTTTTCCCCTCTCCAATACACTGGTGAAACTCAACACTCCTTTTATGATGAATTCATAGAACAATTTTTTTTTCTGAAAGATTTTGAAAGAAAAAAATAAATATAAATACTGTACTTTTCTGTTCAAAATCACTTGGACCAGCTCAAATTTTAGGTAGACACCTTACCACTGTATAGCAGTTTTTCCATGTTATTTCGGATTCTGACTATCTTATAAACAGGTCCACTTTTAATAATCATCCTTACACACAGAGATCACACTAACGTGATGCATCAAATGTCTGGGATGCTCCCGGACGCAGGTTCGAATCCTCATACGACCCTTGTGGATTTGTTCATTTAATAATCATCCTTCCTTTTCCACATTTTTATAAGCTTTGTCTCAGTTAATTAGCCCTAATATTCAACACCTCTAAACATGGTTTTGGTTATAGCCTTGCGCTTGTTTCTCTACTACAATATTAAATGTTTCAATCTTCAACATACAGTATGTAATTTGAGCTACTTTTCTCATTCTCTCTTCTCTTCTTTTTGTCTCCCAGTTCTTACTTCGTTTGGACTGCTCATTTCCATGACCTGACATAGTGCCATCTCCCCACCTCCAATCTTCCTGCTCCTAACCTTAACTCATCACATTCTTCCAAGTTTTCACATAATAATGGGTCAGAGTTGACAAAAGCATAATTTTCCCCTCCACAAAACTGCTGTGGGTTTTGTGTGCATTTGATTCAGCCATGGTATTGTGACATTTGTTCTTTAGAAACAGGAATAACAACAAATATAAAGTATTATGAAACCATAGGATTAAATTTATAATAAATTATCACCTATTTTATTGGAGTTTGTTAAAATGGGTGACTGTTGAAATTGGAGTTTCTTTCGATGCTTTTCTTCCTCTCTCCTTTGCTGTCGAAAATACTGGCGTACAACTGCTTTCTTTTGAAGATATGCTCGGCCATGACCTGTAAAAGACAATAAGGAGAATAGGGTACAGGGGATTGCCTACTTCCGATGATCCTACTTTTGATGGCTGCCAATGCTTCCCCAGTCAGGTGTTTTTGCTCTAACTCTAACAAGTTGAGAAGAGATGCTAGAGGCATTAAATATACCGAAGCTATAAGATAGAAGAAAAAGAAGCGATATAATCACCAGTTACAAAATAATAACAGGAATTGACCAAATTGACACAAGTGGAATTCTTGAAACCAGCAACTTTTAGAACAAGAGGTCATAGATTCAAGTTAAGGAAACAAAAGTGCTGTAAAAATATTAGTTTTCTTTTGCAAGCAGAGTGGTAGATAGTTGGAACAAGTTAGATGAGAAGGTTGTAGAGGCCAAAACAGTTAGTAGTTTCAAAGTGTTATATGACAAAGAGTACTGGGAAGACGGGACACCACGAGCGTAACTCTCATCCTGTAACTACACCTAGGTAATTACACACACACAATGACAAATTTTCTGTCAGAAAAATGAGGGTACTAATTAGAAGCAATGTATCAAACTGAAGAAATGTCACAAGTGGAGTACCGCAAGGTTCACTTCTTTCACCAGTAATATCCATTGTCTACATAAACGACCTACCAGATGGAATACAAAATTATATGAACATTTTTGCTGATAATGAACAAAAGAACATATGAATAGAGGTAACTGCAGAAGGCCTATTGGCCCATTCGAGGCATCCTATTTATTAGGAGCTGCCAAACTTAGACAACTGTCATGCCGTTCAAGAAGACCTGGACAAAATAAGTGTATGGAGCACCACTTGGCAAATGGAATTTTAAGTAAATAAATGCCATGTTACTGAATGTGGAATAGGAGTAAGTAGACCACACACACAACCTACAAATTATATGAAAAAGCTTTAAAAAATTGATACAGAAAGATGTCTTGGGGTGGTTCTAGATAGAAAACTATTACACGAGGACCACATAAAGATGATTATGCGAGAAGCATGTGTCTCTCTTTCCAACTTCTGAATTGGTTTTAATTATGTAGATAGTGAAATACTAGACTTTTTATAACGTTCATGCAGAAGCCATTCATTGAATATACAACTAAATAATTCATACTGTATAACAATATACTATTGTGATGGTGATCCTATCAGATGCTACATGGTGATCCTAGCAGATTGTGATCAGTTGGTGACTAAGAAAAAATGTTTTAAGTTTCCATTTCATACCTTCCTGTTGACTCCCAAAGTTAGTTTTCAATTTGTCCTTGAGGTATGCTCTCTTATTGAAATTTTTTTTAATTACTTTATTTTTTGGAGCCATCTTGTGTCTTGGTTGTTTTCTGTCGACAAGGGCTTACAACCTGTCTTAGGGGGTGTGGTGATCCTGTGTTGTTGGGGCTTGTACGTCACCTGCTGGCCAGATCTTTCCTTTCTTTATTATACGTGCAGTTTGTATGAAGGTTCAGTCCTCCCGGTGACCACTATTGGGTATTGTTGTTGGTTAACGGCAGCTGCAGCCTACACGCGGAGCAGGATCCATGGGTCAGCTGGCAATGTTACCATCGGTTATAACCGGCGTTCTTCCTCCCGGTCACCCTATTACAGAGAACGGAACTGCGACGAAATAGCTTTCAGACAGTGAGGTAAGCTCTTGAAAATATCTGAATTTAGCAGAGGGCCACCGTCTGTATAGTGGGACGGGAAGCCAGCGGCTTGTTAAAGATCATCTAATTTTTCCTGAGATTTTTCCCGACTGGATTTTGAACTGCAGTAATGTTCAGGCAATTATACTGCTTCGGGAGCAGTCGATTCCACGGGTTTTCCTGAATTTATCCGAGGGCCACCAACACACTTAATAGCCTCAACAAGGACAGGAAGCTCGCGGCTTGTCAAAGGTGCCCCCCCCATTTGCCCCAGTGATCCTTTCCAGTTGGAGTTTAACATTTTGCAATTTTGGCATTTACGGCTTTGGCGGGTAGGCAGTTCCAACTGTTTATAACTCTGTGGGTGAAAAGCCTCTGTTTTCTGTCCTACAATGTGGCTTGTTGAGCTTGAAACCGTTGCTCCTTGTTTGTGTTACATCTGAACTTATGTAGAAATTGTCCGGATCATCATTCTCTAAGGACTGAGAATAGGAGATGCTTTTTCACCCACAGGGTTATAAACCCATGGAACCGCCTACCAGCTGAAACCGTAAATGCCAAAACTGTGGTGTTTTAAAATCTACCTGGAAAAGATCATCAAGGCAAATAGGGGAGACATTCGACAAGCTGCCGGCTTCCTGTCCTCATCGAGGCCAACTAGGGTTAGTGTCCCTTAGGTAAATCAGGTAAAATTCAACAAAGGGAGACAAAAATCATGGCCGAAACTTACCCTAGACGCTTTACGCAATAGTGGCTTCATTAGTATGTGTGACTCCTGTCCCCATAATTGAACATTACTCCTATGTTCTTTGTTTCAGGTAAATCCAGGTACACACATTCTTTTGAATTATAACAATTTGAATATGAATTTGAATGTTAAACCTATGTTATGTTAAGTGCAGCACAATTAATGTTAAGGAGACGTTAAGCCTGTTAATAATAATTAAAAAAATGTATATATGTAATTTCACCTAAATAAAATGTTTATGTTTATATGTATGTTTAAAATTGGTGTTAAGTTAACATGGTGTTTGTTTACTGTGAAGGTGTGCGTGGTTGCTAGGGCGTTGCTAGGGCCGCGTCGCCCACCTTGGACTGCTCTGGCCACGTCAGTGTATAATTTCTATCCTTTATTCACAAGAAAGTTACTTAGGGTTTTATAGGTTTTGGTACGTATATTACAATACATTAGGATGGATATTTATATTCCAATCTCTGTTGTAAAAGTTGCAGTACTTAAGGAAATTAGGGATGGCAGAAGAGCAGTGTGACACAAAGGCCAGAAAGCACGAGTATAAAGAGCTATGATATTTATCTGAATTTACCTGAGTGCCGCTAACACTAGTAACCTCGACGAGGACAGGAAGCCGGCGGCATGTCTAAGATACCCCCCATTTGCCTTGATGATCTTTTTCAGTTGGACTTTACAATTTAAGAGAGTACGGATTCCTTAGGGTTCAATGATCCGGCTCTATTCGGACAAGCCATCGGGGGCACACGGACTGTTCCCCCGTGGCCAGTGATTCTTCTGGCTCCTTGGTGGCTGGCTCAGTCTTGGTTTCAGGCGCTGCTTGCTCAGTGTCTGAATCCGGGCATTATTCCGTGGCTCCACCATTATCAGCAGGTCAGACAGGTGAGGTATTACGCTGTTTCAGCCTTCTCTTCTGCCTTGCATGCCTGGACATTCTGACACATGTTTATCGCCTTTTGTATGGTGATCAGGTGGCAGGTTTAATGGTCTTCTGCCCGTAGTCTTCTTCTCAGCGACAGTATGAGATTTCTTGGTGGGCTTTCTGCCATTTTCATTCTCTTCGTTGGGTTTCTTCTGTGTCTGACTGGGTTCTTTTGTCTTTGGCTTTTTCTTGATTGGCATCTCATGCTGAATACTGTCGCTTCTTATCGTGCAGCATTGGCGGAGCCTCTTACACTTATGTTCAGGGTGTTTTATTCGTTTGGTCCTAGAAGTCTTTTGTCCATTTGATCCTAGTGGTTGTTTTTGTTTGTTTGGTCCTAGTGGTCGTTTTGTTCGTTTCGTCCTAGTAGCTGTTTAAGTTATCAAGTAAAGCGACACAAAAAAAAACACTTTCATCTGCATATATGAAAATGTCAATATGTTAGATAGCCATAAATTAATATTTGGAGAAAATGTGACCCACATTTTAGACATCCAGGTGAAGGAGGCTGAATGTGCGGATTGCAAGCAGTCACTTCAGATTTACCTACTCACATATTCACACAATGTTGGGAAGGTTATTAATTTCATACAGTAGTTGCCTGGATGATAGACACTTTACATAATTATTTCAACAATTTTATTGATTTTTAAGGAGTTAAAAATCAATTAAAATCAATTATTTAAAATCTATTTCATTGATTTTAAATAAGTTTAGGGCAGATAAATTAATGGTACTGTACAAGGTACTGAATAATATGTGCAAAATTCTATCCATATCTTTCATGTTTAAATTTTCAAATACTGTAGCTGATTTTACCTGGCAGGTAAAGAAATGGGAAGCTTAAGTGATTCTGATCCTGATTTTTGGGACTTGGGAGAAGATGGTGGTGGCAAGACAGCTCATAGAAAAAGAGGCCGCCTGAAGAAAAGGTATTTATTTTAATCCTGTGCCTTATTCACTGTTGTGTTAAATTTGATTACTTTAGTAATTTTTGGGTTGGGCATTTCTTATCAAAATGTTTGAGTGAAATGGGGAGATATGTTATCACTAAAGAGACTAAAGGCTATATTCTCTATATGTGGTCATATGATGTGTACAAATTTTAGCCACAAGCTAGTGAACTTGCTTACAATTTTTCTTTTGAGTCACGCTTAGTAGCATCCCTTTACATGAAGCACTGACACTGCTAGAATGCTGTGAGTATACCAAGGTTCTGGGTGACTTTTGTGCCCACAAGAACAAGTACCTTTTCCATTATGTCTTATTGCCTGCAAACTGGTGTAGAACATGTAGAGATCATAAATCAGTCATTGACCACAAAGATTCCACCCAATATGCCACACAGAAACTCTTTAAAACACTCAAACTTCTTCCAGATTACCTATTCCAGCAAGGTATTGCCAAACATTCAGAAACTAACAAAACACAGACTGACTCAAATCTGATCCTCTGTATATTAATAAAATATTATTATTTATTATTATTATTAATAAAATATTATTATTTATTATTATTAATAAAATATTATTTATTATTATTATTATTATTGATATTATTATTATTGTTGACCATGTAGACCATGTCGTGGCCTAGTTGACTAGGGCGTGTACGTGGGAACACCCATCGCATAGGTTCGAACCCTCGTCATGGCTCCTACGGATTTTCTCATTGACACATCACGTTAGTGTGATTACTCTCTGTGTATTATTGTTATTGTTATTCTTGAGAAAATCAGTAGAAGCCATGATGAGGATTCATACCTGCACACTGGGTACTCCGAAGTACTGTATATGCTCTAACATGGCCACATACACTTCAGAATACCTGGTGTGCAGATTCGAATCCTCATCATGGCTCCTACTGATTGATACATCATGTTAATGTGGTTTCTTTGTGCATTATTATTACAATATTATCATTATTATTATTACTGTATATTATTATATTTCTGGCAAGATTTTATATAATAAATTATAATAATCTTAATAATTCATAATGTTGGGAGACAGGCAGCAAGTGTATATATACATGTTAGGGTTATATTGAGGTCCCTCCCAGGGTCAAATTACTGACCCTCCCTAGGATGCAACCCCACAAGAAGTTGACTAACTCCTGGGTACCTATTTACTGCTAGGTGAACAGGTTCATTAGGTGACAGGAAACAAACCCAACCATTTCTGTCTCCCCTGGGATTCGAACCCGGAATTGTGTGTCGTTAAAATCTTGATTATGTGTTGAGAATGAACCTGACTGTACCTCTTTTTGTTGTGTCTACTTGTTTTCCATGTTTATTGCCTATATCGAGCCAGCTGTGGCTTAATGTGGCTGGGCATTAATTGTTGATTTTACAGTACTCATTTGTATACATTGTTTAGTATTTACAATTTTTGGAAGATACTGTACATTAATTTCAAATTTGTGTATATTTTAGATGTTGATGAATGTACGAGTAAGATATTAATATATAGAATTTCTTTTCTCTCTCCAGCAAAGGATTTCCTAAATTTCCTCCAAACATCTCTGATAATTTAAATAAAGAAAATAGTGACGTTCTCCCTAATATAAATGATAAGGAAGAAGTGAAGGTCCCTGAATTTATGAATAAGAAAGCCAGACAAAAAAAGGACAATGAAGATTTAATAGAAAGACAGAATATATTGCATGAAAACAGGGAAGAAGATAGGGAGGGTGGTAATAATGAGAGGGAGAATGATGCAAGCACTGGAGAAGAATCCGACAACTTGAATGAATCTGAAAGGAACTCGCAGCAGAAAGAGCGAGAGGAGGGAAGTGGAAGCAGCAGTGACTCGAGTAAACGTACCAGTCTTCTTAGTGGTTCAGATTTACCTCACGACTCCCCAAAAGATGCTGCCTTGACTGATGAATCAGCAAAAAGTTCTAAATGCTCAGGTATTGGTAAATATCTTGACTATGTTGCTACTATATTAGAGTGCACTGTGTTCATTGATACCATTTTGGGGCAGTATGTACTGTATAAATATTTTTGATTATTCAGTATGATTGGAGATTTACAACTGTAATTATAGTGTCCATAAATAAAGGTATTTATTTTACAGTAATTAGTTTTCATATATAGAGATATACTGCCAATATACTTGGCAGCATATTTTAAACCAAGTAGTATGTAGAGGAGGTATTTTGAATATAGATGAACCCCTTGGGGGCCATTCTGGTCTGGATTGAATAAGATTCTGCAGTGTTTCACATCCCTCACTCATGGCTTGGCAGGAATGGATCGAAAAGATTTCCACTGTATCAAGGAAGTAATGGTCAGACCTGGCTGGTCTAAGTAATTTCTCTGAATATAATTTGCAAAGCATAGTGAAAATTCTCACAAGCAGATCAAGTATTGTCTTATATTTTAGATTGAGGTGATGCATTTTAGTTTTATCAGAACACTAAAGTACTAAAAGTGCTTTAACTGCTTAACATATATGATAGCTAATTACTGAGCCATTATATGAAGCATTTATCAGGTCTACAATTCAAATCTTGGTTGTGTATAGTGAAGTTATAAAGAATCATTTTGTATACTATATTAAGCACTAATGGCAGCATCTTTCTCTGATAATTCCCTTTCCCTGTCTTAATTATGTAAATCCACTGCTTCTTTTCCTCCTTTTCTCATTAGATTCACAGTGGCTAGTTGAAGAGTACCTTCTTCCACCTCAACAAAAACTTAAATTAGCTCTGTACCGAGGTAGAAAACTGTTGGCTGCAAAGGAGGCTGACGGTGCTGTTCGAGAATTTATTCGGGCACAGGCTCTTGCCAGAATTGTTCATGGTGACCAGCATTGGAGATATTGTCGATGCAAAGTCTTTTTAGCACAAACATATTTGTATTTAAAGGTAAGAATAAGTTAAAATACAGTATGTGTGTACTACTTAAAATTAAAGAATTTTGTAGGGGACAGGAAGCCTGTGCTGTGCTCTCTATAAGCCAATTGGACCACGTACTATACCTCTAATTGGGCCCCACATTATGGTAATCTACTTTAATCTTGTTGTGTAAAACTTCCTTCCAAAGGCTTGTCTTAAACCAACACAAACTTGCAAGCTAATATTTGTCTCCTGAATTCTTTATAACAAGATAGATATGAGTCAGACATTAGGTAAAGTATGCTTTGTTTTTTAATCAGTTCAGTGATGAATGCCACTTTTAATGTTTTATTGATTTTTTCAGGATACCCTAGATATGAGTAAAAGATTAAGTGACATTGATAGAAAATATTTAAGCGGCAAATTAGCAGGAGTTTAAATTTAGATAAAATTGTAAGACTTTGCAGAGAAAGACACAAGAAAGATAACATTTTATAATAAGTAAGTTTTTAGAAATCCGGAAAAAGATTTGTTCCCGACTTGCATTTTGAATGTTTTTCAAAAAAAAAAAAAATATAATTAAGATTTTTAATAAATCATTTCACTAAACAAATCTTTCCTGTGAACATGTGGGCCTCACCAAAAATGTTTGTAATTGGCTCCCATAGCTCCTAAGGCTGGCCCAAAGCCTGTGTATATGTATACAGTACAGTACTTTAGGCTTGTATCGAGTTCCCTCAAGATAGAACTACTGACCTTTCCCAGGATGCAGCCTCACAACAGTTGGCTAATGGGGGAACCAATTTACTGCTAGATAAACAGAGGCATTAGGTAAAAGGAAATTTGCCCAACCATTTTCGTTCCACCTAGGAATTGAATCCGGTATCTCCGATTGTGAGTTGAAGACAAAGCCAACTGTAGTACAGGACCCTACATGTATAAAGTAGTAGAGTAGCTAAATGTTTTAGACCCAGGAAAGACTAAAATTAAATTTTTGTAGTACACTGTGCAGTAATTGCAAATAATACCGGCTCAAGTATTTATGGCATTTGTTTGATATTAAAAATGTCTGCTGTTTGTTGCTACACCAACTAGATTTTGTTCATTTTTGCAAGCACTGTATTATATTTATGCTGCAGTGACTCATTTATACATATCTGAATTGCTTGAATTTACCCGAGGGCCATTGTCTCAAAATGTGACAGTGTCATTTTGACAGTGAGAAATGTGAGGGGCTTTCTGTCATTTCTCACTGACAGAAAGTACAGGAATATTAACACTATTATTTTTCATTATTAAAGGACTATGCTCCCCAAGGAGAGGCACAGGCCCAGGAGGCTTTAGACACCATTAATACACATCTCTCTACGGATCTTGCACCTTCAAAGAAACCACAGGTAAAAATCTTTAGGGATTGGTTTGGATTTTGCCTTCTGTCTCTGTTTCAAGTTATTGTACCTGGTTCATCTTGGCTTGCTGGCAGGCCTCAGTTTTCTTTGGGGGGCTTTGCATGGCTTTTGCTTGCCTGGACACTGCTGTAATGGGAGTGGGTTCTATCTTTCAGGTGTTCTTGGGCAGTGCTCATTTGAATTGCCTGGGATTTGTGTGTTGGCTCTGACATGGATGGGTGGAAGCTCTATTTTTGGCTGTCTTTTCTCTCTGGAGCCATCACTTTTGGGGGTGACTGCAGGGCTCTTGCTTACTTGGTGGCCATTTTGCACATCTTGGCAGTTATTTAACTGTTCTCAGATCAGCTCTGTGGCAGCCTTGATGTTCTGGCATCTATGCCTGGTATGGCTGCCTTATTAAGGGTTCCGGCTTCAATGGCTCTGCTTTTATTGCTTGCACCCCTCTTTTCAGGTGGCAGCGGCAGCATTATCCGTAGCCCGTCTTGCATATTGGTGAGCCACCAGTGCTGTCCCAGTCATGGGGATCAATTTAGGCATTGACCCTTTTGTTTGCCTTCACCTTTTTGTGTATGTTTTCTTCCCTGTGAGGGCTGTTTCTTTGGTCTTTTTTGGCAGCAGCTGCTTCTTTTTGCCCCTCAGTTGGGTCCTCTGGCAGAGGGGTTCTGCTCCTCTTGTTAGGTAGTGGCTCTTCATTTTGCCTGTCACAATAAAGTTCTTTCTAAATATGTATTTTGTTAAAGTTTAAGGAAGACATTACACAACCCTGTCTTAGGCTCATTAAAATTCTTGTATTTTTGCCTACTCTTACACATTCTTTGGTATTACTGATTAACATAGTGGCCTGGTGAGTGACTCTTGGCACTCACAAGTATTTCCCACTTGGAGAGAGGTGTCTCCTTTAATATTATGTTTTGCATATACAGTAATTACATTGTGTTTAAGTTTATAATTACAAACAATACAGCTGTACAGTAGTATATTTTATCATATTGCATTTTTTACAGGTTCATCATACCTTATTGTGGGGATACCTGATCACTGGTGAGGCACGCATTAAATTAGATCAGTTTATTGGGGCCCAGGAGGCTCTGAGTCTTGCACTTTATCATACTCGAATATATTCACGAATGGTATGTATCTTTCATTATTTTTTGTTGTTAACCATGTAATTCAAATAATGTAAGGTATTTCAAATAATGTGTTAACAATTTTATGTAAAAGAAAAAAGTGAAGTAAAAAACAGTTGGATTGGGTGGTTATATATAGGAGCTGCCTCGTGTGGGCCTTCTGCAGTTTCCTTTATTCATACGTTCTTACATATTATAGTATATGACTTTAAAATATTGTGTCTTCTCTCCTAATAACTCGTACCCATCTTGTCACATATCTCTGAACCTTCTCTGATTTTATGAGCTAAAGCACATTAGATACTGTACTATACTTTCTTGAGCTAGGAGCAATTGGGACCTTTAGTCAGTGCCACTATGACTTTTTCCCCTAAAGCCTATTAAGGATCTTTGCAAATGGTTTCATCAGGGATAAAGATAAAGGTGGATAAAAAAGACACTGGCCCACTGTAACACATAGCAGAGAGCATTCTGTGCCCTACTAGCCAAAAATGTCTCCAAACCCCAGGCAAGACAGAAAGCCCAAGAACCCCTCGCTTACTTTAAGGGCAAGGACCACCCCCAGGAAGAAGGCCGTTCTAAAGGAAGTGTTCCCTGAATGCCCCAGGGAAGAGAACCCTAACCACATAAGGACAGTACTCACAGAGCGAACAAGGAAGTAAACCTGATCACATACAGCTCTGGTACACAAACTCTTGGCTCACAAACACTTCCATGTAAAACATTGCCATAAAGGCAAAAGAACACCAAAGAAAATGGCAAACCGGAGACAGAGCAATGTGACCATCTGGAAAGCACATCAGTAAAGTACTGAAGCTGGTCGGCCTGGGCGCCCCAGGCCGACTTTCCCCTTCCCCCAGCGAGGTGGGAGGTGGAGTTAACTAGCAGGGGGCTAGTTTCACTAAATTTTGTTGTTTCTTTATTATTGAAGTAGTTCTTTTGGAATTTGGGGAGTTTGGTCATTTGTTTTAATTTGCCTATCTTTCTGGGTGCCTTTCCTAGCGATAACAAAGGTGATATCCTTTAAATGTAAAGTGATCATAGGCCATCACACTCTGCGATTCTCTGAGGGGGGGCCAGGTTTTGCCTCGAGATCCCCGGTAGGCAAAAGGACTCTGCAACAGATGACACTTGGTAGTATGGCACTTAATCCGTGATGATAGCTTCAGGGAGCCTCCGGGTCTCGCCCAGAAACTGGTGTTTCTTTACATTCAATGCTGGTTTTTATCTACACTCAATGCCTTACAGTTTTTTTTAAAGTATTATTAAAAAAAATAAGGCACTTTTATCTGATCTCAAAAGTGGATAAAAAAAATGTTCCACTTTTGAGATCAGATAATGCATGAAGAAATTAATGATATACAGTGTAAATATTACTGGATTTAAAAATTTTCAATTTCTCATGTAAAGTTAACAAATTATACATTGTTATACAATTAATATTTACTTTTGTGTTGAGAAGTATATTCATTGTTCAATATTCTTATTGAAGTTTACATATATTGTAATATATATGGTATCTTACTAATTTATTGTTGCTAACCACAACAGGTATCTCGACGAAAAAAAAAGCTGACCCCGTCTCTGACAATGGACCGCGCACTTGACTTGCAAGTGAAAGTACTTTGTGCTCAAGCGACCCTCCATTCCAAGAGGAGAAAATACCTCAAGGCTCGGGTATACTGTACAAATTACATAGTTAAATCCTGGTGTGAGTGTGTGTGTGTGTGTGGAGTTTTTTGAATATACATGTATGTCGATATTTGTGTTTCTATTTATCAGTAAATAATGTGAATTTGAGTTGTAGTGTGTGGTTCTGGAAAATAGAGAAAAATTGAAGGAAACGTATTATGGAAGCAAAGTGCATGACTGTAGTTTGAAGTAATATGGGCTACCTAGACCCTTACTAGTGAGGTATACAAACAAGAGATAACATGAGCCAAGTTTAATGAAGGGTTATCTTCTTGAGGTTATCTTGAGATGTTTTCAGGGCTTTTTAGTGTCCCCGCGGCCCGGTCCTCGACCAGGCCTCCACCCCCAGGAAGCAGCCCGTGACAGCTGACTAACACCCAGGTACCTATTTTTACTGCTAGGTAACAGGAGCATAGGGTGAAAGAAACTTTTGCCCATTGTTTCTCGCCGGCGCCTGGGATCGAACACGGGACCACAGAATCACAAGTCCAGTGTGCTGTCCGCTCGGCCGACTGGCTCCCTAGTGTAGTGTAAATTGTGAAAGATGTTTGCATGGAAAAGCACCTGCTCTAACCTCTATGTATTCCTTGGAAGCACCATGCATAATTAGGTCAAGACTGAAAGGACTATTTATGGGGAGTTAATGGGGGCCTACCAGAAAGGGCATTTCATTAAATTCACTGATTTAGTTATTTCTCGACTGTATATTCACAATTTAGGGTCTTGTTAGTAGTTAGGTTCATTCTCGACTCACAATCTGGAATCCCAGGTTCAAATCCCAGGCATGACAGAAATGATTAAACACTTCCTTTCACCTAATGCTGCTGTTCACCAAGCAATAATTACTTATGTAGGAGTTAGGCAACTGTTGTGGGGTTGCACCCTGGAAAATTTCAGTACAGTAGTTCAGTCTTTGATTATCAGCAGGATGATGTTCGGAGCTGGATTTGTGAGGTTTTCCAAGCAGTGTTCTATTTTCATTAGTTGGTCTTTAAACTGCTGAGGGTTTGCCTCCGGTGACTTATATACAAGGACAATAACTGCATTTAGAATCTCTATTTTGATTATCAGCGGGGACCTCGATACAAACCTAAAGTGTGCATGTATGTGTAATTACCTAATTGTAGTTACAAGATGAGAGCTATGCTCATGGTGTCCCATCTTCCCAGTACTCTTTGTCATATGACGCTATGGAACTACTGATGGTTTTGACCACCACCTTTGCACTTATTTCACCTATCTACCACTCTGCAAAAGGAAATTTTCTAGTGTTTTTTTTTTTTTGGCAACTTTGTTTCTTTAGTTTGATTCTACCATATCAGCGATACAAAGAAGCATGAAACAGCTACACAGCAGTAACAAGAGAGGCAGAAAGAAATTTTGAGAAGTGGTAGCAGACAAATGTAAAACGGTACCAGGCCTATTCTATAAATTCATTAAAAGCAAATTGCAGGTAAAGGATAATATTCAGAGGTTGAAAATGGGAAACAGATTCATGGAAAATAAAAATGGAAATATGTAGAAGGATTAAACAAACAGTTCCAAAGTGTGTTTGTGCAAAATGAAATCTTCAGAGAACCAGACACAATAGGAATCCCAGAGAACAAAAGAGCACATAGAGGTGTCTAGAGATAAAGTTAAAAAAATACTCAAGGAGCTAAGGTGGTGGAGGCCAAAACCATCAGTAGTTTGAAAAAGTTATATGACAAAGAGTGTTGGGAAGACGAGACACTACGAGCATAGCTCTCATCCTGTAATTGCACTTAGATAATTATCTTTTACAAAAGGAACGTTACATTTTATACCATATTTATTCCAAAAGTGCTTTTGAAATGGTTTATCTCATTTAATAAAATTTAATATTCTGATGTAATGGATTATTATTAATTTTTTAATAATGCATAGGAAAAGTTGGAATTAAGCATAAAAACAATAGAATCGAGTGGAACAGGAGTTGATGACCCTGGACTTGTGGGTCCATTGCAACAACTTGGCCAGCTTCTCCTCAATCACGGCCAGACTGATCAAGATGCCGAGGCTGGCCTTAAGTACCTGGCTCGAGCTGTTCACATAACACAAGTAAGGTAAGATGAGAGATTATGTTTGCTTTTCTTACTCTGAACAAAAATAAATGTTAAAATTGTGATGACATAACTGATGATTAATAGTTATTACACTGAAGGGATATTATATTTTTTCACTAAATTCCTTACTTTTCTTGGGAAATTTGCTGTGTCTGTGTGATACGTAGAGATCACTTTTGCAGGTCAATTTGAAACATAAAACACTTGTGTATAGTGGTGCAAGCTTCCTAATTATTATTAGGCCATATAGGCCTCTACACATCTAAGCTAATGCCAGGAAATAATCCTTGTAGTTCCAGTTGCAAATAATATGCTAGGAAATTTTACAATATTGTAGCTGAAGTTACTTTTTATATGTACTGTACATATACATTATATATACCATATATTACAAGTAAATTTTATTTACTGATGATGCAACCTTCATTTTCTCCTATGCTAACCCACTTATTCTAAATGACAGTGAATACTGAACTAGACAAAGTTCATTTGAGGTTGACTGCTAATAAACTTGCCCTTAACATCGCTAAAATGTTTTACATATTGTTAGGTTAATTTTATTGCTGGATTTGTTACCAAAGAATAAACAATACCCAAATTATGAGCAGAGTAGATGGGAAGTTCCTTGGTGTCCACATAGACAACAAACTGAATTTCCATTGCCATATATGGCAGATAGTCTTCTATCTACAACCACCCCTAGATCTCTTTCTTTATCAGAATTTTTTAAAGATTTTTCACATATTTTGTAGGTTGTGTGTGATCTATGTTTTCCTATTTCACATTCCATAACATGGCATTTATTCACATTAAATTCCATTTGCCAAGTGGTGCTCCATAGACTTTTTGTCTAGGTCTTCTTGAAGGCCATGACAATCATCTAAGTTTCTTATCATCCCTAATATCTTGGCATCATCAGCAAACATGTTCATATAATTCTGTAATTTTTTCTGGTAGGTCATTTATGTAGACAATGAACTTCTCAAAATGCTCTGTGTGTAAGTGGCTTTGCAAGAATTTAAGAACACCAATGTCTTGTATTCACAACCCAATGTACATTCTTGTATATAAATGAATAAATAAATTACTGGTAAGCCTCGGTGGCTGTCTGTTGGGTTAGTTGGCATATGAAGCAGCTGTGAGGCCTCTTCTTGTTCTTCATTCTGCCACATGAGGCTTTGGGATGATTTTGTGTCTATGCAGCTCTTGCCTACTTCTGTTGTTTGCTAACTGGTGGGTTGAGTGTGCTTCTGTCCCCGTACTATTAATATTAGGTGGTTGCTTTGAGGATACACAGGTTTCATTCCTGGCTTCCCTGTTTTATTGTGTTTCACCTTTTGTTGTTTTCTGATGGTCCTTTCCTGGAGGGTATTTTGCACCTTTTATGCTGTTTGTTTCTTCCTCTTGCACTGCTTGCCTCTTGGGTTGGGGGTCGGTATTGAGGCTCGCAGTTTTTTCTAGGTGGTAGTCCTCAGTTAGCCAGCCAGCCACTGTGTTTTGTTAGAAATTACATTTGTATATTTAATCATTGTATTATTTGTGAAGCTAATTAAAATGTTTTGTTGTCCAAAAATGCTGTGCAGTAATTAACAATTTAATAACTTCCATTATAACAAGACTCGGTAAATAAAGAGGATTATAGCCCGATGTAATCTCATCAAATTGAGAATATACTGTACTATATTGTACTAATTCTATCCCCTCTGTTTAAAATGTAGAGTTGCTCTCTTTTATCCAATTATCAGACAAATTTTTACATTTTGTTTTCACATTCTTTTACGTGTAATTGTAATTTCTCTTTGAAAACTTATTCAGTTTCTTTATCTTGAGTGTTCTTTAGATCTATTTGCATATAAAATTATACATTTAAATAGGAATATAGTCAAATGTTAATTGTTCTTATCTAGCAATAGACCAGGTAGTGTAGCAGAATGCGAAGCCCGAGGACTGCTGGTAGAACACCAGTTACGTCTACGAAGAACGGACATTAAAGAAGCTCTACGTGAACTCCACAAACTTGGCCTCCTTTATTCTCGGTTGCATGGAGAACAAAGTCCAAAGACATTAGCCATACATAGTCTTACTATTCAAGTAAGTTAGTTTTGTAGGATGGCTAATGGCCATAGAAAGTCATAAAATGTTTGATACATATTAGTGAAAAAATGGCAAACTTTGAATGCAAATAAATTTGTCTGGTATGAACTGTACATATGAGCAGTAATATAATGTACTGCATATATTGTAATAAGAGCTACCGATAATACATTTTCTAAACATTTTATTTATGTTTAATAGGTGTTAGTACAGGAGGAAGACTATGAACAAGCCATCCAGCAGCTGAGAACAAGACTGAAGCACTGTCGGGATGCATATGGAGATTACAGCTCACAGGTTATTTGTATATATTGTGTATTTCTTTTTAATGTCACATGAACATTTTATGAAAAGCCCTTTATATTATTGAAGGCAGACCCCTTAGATAAATGCTATATTTTAAAATGAAATGACTGATTAGTCTGAGAAAAGCTTGTTTCTGAACTTGGTATTCTGCTGTTCCCAGAGGTATGAACTCTTTGTAATATTCTAAGGATCATGACTTAGTCAGTTAGGAAAACATGGCAACAGTGCCTCAGGGACAAATGCATCCCTGCAAGACCATACAAGATGCTTGGGAGGAACTGGAGAAAATTTAAATGGAACCAAGATAACAATAGCTATATGTCTTATCAAACTCAAGCCTCAGAGTCCCATTTACTTCACACTCATAACCACTGATGGGAAGTGCTGATTACCTTGATGGCCAGTCACAACACACATGCTGGTACACTCCACCACTGCCAAGTAGTCCAAGACCCTTACTGCATCAGCAGATGGAATAGTTACACTAGCCTTTGAGTTTGTAATGTTTGGGATGGTGGAGGGAGGGGGGGGGGAGAGCAGAGTATGGCATAAGGAAGTGATTGATTGCTCAAATAAGAAGCATTTGTATACCTCATTTGTATACCTTTTTTTTTTAACTTTAACCTCTTAATTTTTTTGAATATAATTTTAATGCATGTAAAGTGGGCAACATTAACCCACCAATTATATTGACAGGTATGTGGAGTACTGCGTCAACTTTCCCGCGTACATGCTCTTAGTGGGGATCTAAGTGCTGCAGCTTCAGCACTTGATCAGTGTCTTCAGGTCGAAACTTTAATCTATGGATCTTCTTCAAGAAGAGCACAAGCATCTCATCTCAGACTACAAGAAATGATTCAGTGAGTTTAATCTTAATTTTGCTATTTTACATGGTCAGTGTTTATTTTATTTGTATTTTTCAAACAAAGTTTTGCCATTTTCTGTTCTGCCTTAATATTAATACTGTAATAATAATAATTCATTGTGTCAGGAGAATAGGCAGCCAGTGTAAAGACATGTTAGGCTTATATTGTGGCCCCCCTCCCTCCCATCACCTGAGGTTGAATTACTGACCCTCCCTAGGATGCAACCCCACAACAAACTGACAACTCCTGAGTACCTTCTTACTGTTAGGTGAACAGGAGCATTAAGTAATAGAATATGAACCCAACCATTTTTGTCCTGCCCGGTATTCAAACCCAGAATTCTCGACTGAGAGTCAAGAATGAACCTGACTTTACTACCGGGACTCCAAATATGTAATGTACTGTAGATTGTTTTTCTGTTATCTTTATGTACAGGAACCCTTGCAGACATATATAAAGAGGCAGATACAGTATACTGTATATATTCAACAAATATTTGTAATAATTTTTTATCTTTATTGATAGTTTGTACTCAGCATCTTAATATTTCACCACCCTGTAGGTTATCCATTTGGAGTCCTGACATGTGGAGCAAATTTTTAAAAGGCACTTATTAAAAGATGGCAAAGTTTGTACAGTACTGTACTTCAAATTATTAATTTTCTTCCTTTCAGAAAGTTGCCATTGTCAGTGAGAATGAAGATGTATAGGAAGCATCCAGAATTGCAGAATAAACCACGGTTTAGAAATATATAGCCGTTAATACAACAATGTATTTGCTGCATGACTGCTTTGCAAATTGTGTACCAGTACCAATTGCTACTTAATTATGCAACTCTACATATTGTACAAATATCCTCTTAATACTGTATGTAGTTATGTAAATGTAGTAAATTACCTTGACTTAGTGACTGTGAATATGTCATGCTCAAAAGAACCTATTAAACATTGTTATGTAGCATAAATTATGAAGGCCTTAATCAGTGGATAAAGTAATGTACTTTAAAGTTATTAGCTTATTTTCACCACATTTTGTAACTGATAGTTTATGCTTGTTTATGAAAAATGTATACAGGCTGTGTGTAATATATATTATACAGTATATATATATATATATATATATATATATATATATATATATATATATATATATATATATATATATATATATATATATATATATATATATACACAGTATATATAATAATAATAATATACACTTGTACAGTATTGAAAAGCACCAAAAATGATATTTTTGTCTGTGATAATTCTAATGTTATTAAATACACATAGCAGAGACAGATAAAAGTTTAGTTTTTTTTACCTTGGAACTTGATCATAAATTTTGTTCATTCATAATAATATAGTAATTCATTATGTCAGAGAACATATAGCCAGTTTATATATATGTTAGGCTTATATTGAGGTCCCCCTGGGACGAATTACTGACTGTCCCTAGTATGCAACCCTACAAGCTAACTCCTGGGTACCTATTTACTGCTAGGTGAATTAGGTGAATATCAAAAGTGATATTCACAAAGACTATATTATGGATAAGAGTAGCAGTGAAGTAGCTTTGCTATACTTTGCCTCGAACACAGGATACACACTTCTCTTAAAAAAAAACAGTAAATTCTGCAATGTCCTCCACCTAGACATTCAAAGTACCCTTCAATGTCATTCCTCACACCAGCCTACTAGCCAAGCTCACATACAGTTAAATTACTGTACTATTCTGGCTAATATTATATATCATAAATGGAACCTCCAAGGTTTACATAACCTCTCAGATAATATGATAATTAATTGGGTATCCTTCTAGCTCTATTCTAAGTCCAATCCTGTTTGCTTCCTCCTTAGCTAACATATCAAACACCCATCTTGATCTTTTCTCAGCAAATAAAGATGATACTGTATAACCCTGTACTGTATTACTGTGGCAATGCATACCACTCTAAAATCGGATATTATATCCCCCCACTCTGTTTTCCTTTCACAATAACTCTCTAATTTATCCCTATCTTACATATGGTATCCCTTTAACATGGAACATATATTAGGAAGGTCCTTTTACTATATCTATAAAGATATATAAAATACAAAGCATTCAAAACATTGTCTGGGTGTCTCTAGTCCACCAAGAAATTAGGCCACAACCGACTTATTCATACAGTTCAAGTTACCCCTGAGAATCAAACACAGAAAACGTACACCTTGCAACAGTAATAGAAGCGATCAATTGTCAACACAACATTCATATCCCCTAAATTAACAACAACATATCGTCGTCCCTAAATCAACAACAATAACAACATTCTTATCAAATGGGCGCATCTGATCCCTCGATCGCCGTCGCTCCTCAATCTCCAACAACACAACATTCATCACTGCCAAGTGCATGACATGAAATTAAACCTGCCCTAAACCGAAACAGTGGCACATCGCTACAAGTTCAAGTATGTTTATTGAGATAAGCAATAAATACATCTCAAAGGGATAGAGTAGCTTAGGCTATTTCTACCCCCCTCTACTTCAAGTCCCACAAGGGGCTCACAAATTCAGTTTGTCCAAATAGACAAATAACATTACAAGATTCCCATTTCATTGTTAAATGCTACGAAGCGTCTTTAAACATTACCGTTCATGAAGTCAACGCTCAAATTATGCTATAATGAACCTGTTGATAATCCTCAAATTTTACTATAATGTACCTACTAATCTTTTTATAATTTTCTTATAAATAAGAAAACCCAAACTCTCATAAACCCAATGTACCTTCTTGTAACTATAAACAAATGAATAAATAAAACAGCAAAATATCCAACTCTATCGAGTTGACCGGAGGAAAAGAAAACGGAGGAAGGTTACTTTAAACAGTGGGGACACTAAACTAAACCAGAAGACCCATGCCATGGCCGTCGATAAAAGTGCTAGGACGAGTAGGCATGCTGAAACCAAGAGCAAAACGCACACATACATCACACTCCCAAAGGCGAGGGGAATATCTAAAGATTTGTAACTAATTCAAATAAGGATATTGAAAGATAAAGATATGGCCAACCAATCAATGTGTTGCATGTGTGTGAATGTGTTGCACATTAGGAAGATTTTCAGTGAATGCCTTGAAAGAAAAAGAGGAGTGTAGTATAAGATAGTATAGAACCGTATAAGATAGTATATTACCGTTCATGAAGTCAACGCTCAAATTATGCTATAATGAACCTGTTGATAATCCTCAAATTTTACTATAATGTACCTACTAATCTTTTTATAATTTTCTTATAAATAAGAAAACCCAAACTCTCATAAACCCAATGTACCTAAAGTTTTGATATTCCTAGAGTACGACTTAATCAAACCAGAAATGCTCTACAAATCAAGGGGCCCAGAATGTGGAATGACCTTCCCAACCATGTTAAAGACTGTACCTCTCTCAACCAGTTTAAGTTAAAAACGAAGCTATACCTAATAAATTCCCTGTAACCTACCTTACCCCTCTGTTGTCAACCCATGTATGTTTTTTTTTTTTTTTTTTTTTTTCAAATCAACGCTGTTTGAATGTAATTTTCTGTAATAATTTGTAATTGTATTTGTGCTGCTTTTTCAACAATGTTCCCCCCCTCTTTTACCTCTATTTTTATTTGTACTCAACACATTTTATTCTTTTTACCCATTAGTTTTAAGCTTTAGTCATTAGTGTTTTTTCCTGCCCGAAACGCTTTGCGTAATAGTGGCTTTAGGCATTGTATGTACTAGCTCTATCTATAAAGCCAACAAACTTTGTAAAATCTCTTTATGTATGTACCTTACCTAAATAAAAATTATTATTATTATTATTATTATTATTATTATTATTATTATTATTATTATTATTATTATTATTATTATAGAAGGTAGACAGTGGCCGGGGAGGAGGGGGGGGAGGCTAGGCAGCAGGTGCCTGTGTTTACCTGCAGGAGGAGGAACATGTGCGGCCCGCCCGACCCTCGCTAGGCTCCCTCACTACCTCATACACGGTATGGCCTCATACCTCTGTTGTTATGGTATCTTATGCTGGGTATACCTCATACACGGTATGGCCTCCTACCTCTAAATGTTATGGTATCTTATGCTGGGTATATCTCATATACGGTATGGTCTCCTATCTCTATTGTTATGGTATCTTACGCTGGGTATATCCTGCTAGTTCTAGCTAGCAAGACATCTAATCTAATCCCTATCTAACATACAGTATCTTGTGCATAGGGTTCAACTACTGCAAATTACCTCGAGCCCATCATCACTCAGCAAAAATCTGCTATGAGAACAATAACAAACTCTGTCTTCAGACAACACACAGCCTCTCTGATTAAGTCCCTTAACATTCTAAACATATACTTACCCCACACATTCTCATGTGCTATTTGCAGATACAAAACCTTGTTCCTAAATGCTAATCTTGATCTGAAACTTCCTTGGTAGATGTAATAGAACCCATAAGCACTACACCAGAAATTAATATCTCTGATATTCTATGAGTCAAACTACATCTGTGCAAACACTCCATGCAAATAAAAGGACCCAGTCTATGGAACTCGCTCCCTAATGAATTGGAAAATTGTTCAACCTATACCTTATTCAAAAGTAAAACCAAAAAGTACCTAATTTTATCCTCATAGTTTTCCACCAGTATGCTATCCACTCACCTAATTTAGTATGTACCTAAGACATTCAACTTCATCAGTATAATCTATTGTCATTTTGTAATGTACTTATGTTGCTCAAATTCTGTTACCTTTATTGTTTAGCATAAGGACCTGCCTGAGGTGTCATGTGTGTTAATGGTTTTGCAAGAATGTTAAACTCAAACCCCAATGTACTGGTATGTACTTTCTCATCTCAATGTACCTTCTTGTATATAAATAGTGGTATGAAATCTCGCGCTAGGTATGGCTTGTTAACTCTAGTGTTAGGTTGCACTGCCTGTGTGGCTGCTCAAGCCTTGGCAGGTTGGCAGCGACCTCACATGTAGTATATCGCAGCGAAAATCTTGCAAAGGCGAGTACAGGTATTCATATTATAAAGACTTAGTCTACATTTATTTGAGCTTGATTTAAATGGCAATGTTAATGTCTTAAGTTTTTTTGTTTTTTTTTAACAGGTGGGAACAGGAACAGATGACTGGCGACTCCTGTCACCAAGCTGAGAGCTTACTCTTCCCATTGCTGAAGGTAAGCCTTATCCACTGCTGTAGTTTCCCTGGAATATGACCAACCAATTGGTTGATAACTAGGCACCCAATTATTGAAGTTAACTTTACCTGAGAACCACTAACACACTAGTGGCCTCGACGAGGACAGGAAGCCGGAAGGTCATCAAAGGTCTCCCCATCTGTCCTGATTGCTCAGTGAACAGGGGAAACAGTTAAGAACTTGAACCCAAGACCAAGTCCCTTGTGAGGCATGGGCCAAATAAGTTATCATTGTGCCACCATAGATTTTAATTGTACAGTACAGGTAACTGCAACTGTCATATACAGAATGATGTTATTGTTAATATTGTTGAAAACCATATTAACAGTAGAAGCCTCCATTTCTGTGTGTATATTGTGTTTGTTATTCAATATTTCCCATTGGCTCCTGATGCACCATTTATGGCCTTAGAGGTGTTAAATATACCAAAGCTAGAAGATAGAAGAAAATGAGGTGATATGATTAGATATGATATGGGAATAAAATGATATGATTACCACTTGCAAAATAATAACAGGAATCTATCAAATTGACAAAGAGGAGTTCCTGAAACTGGTAGCCTCAAGAACAAGAGACCATAGATTCAAGCCAAGAAAACAAAGGTGCTCCAAAAATGTTAGAAAAATGTTCTTTCACAAACAGAGCAATAGATGATTGGAACAAGTTAAGTGAGGTGGTGGTGGCAGCCAGAACCGTCAGTAATTTCAGAGCGTTACATGACAAAGTGCTGTGAAGTTGGGACACCACGAGTCAAGTTAACAAGCGTGTTGTAGTTCTCATCCTGTAACTACACTTAAGTCATTAAACTTTGGTATTCTCACACACACTTCTCTTCTATTCCTTTTTTTTGCATATACAGTAGTTATGTTATTGCATGATATATTACTTTGTTGTAATGGTATGGTCAATTGAACCTCATTTATAAAAGAATTCAAATTTTTTCTAGGTAAATGTCTTGGCTTGACCAAATTGCAGACCAAATATTAGAGCAGATGGTCTATTTGGCATGGCATCAATTTGTGAGGAGATTTTCCAAAAGTTTGTGTCAAATATTAAGAAAAAAACTTGGCATTAATGTGTCTCTAAGAAACACAGATTTAGAGGTAGGTACTGTATGTTGCTTTTACATAAATTATAAATACTGGTAAATAATTTATATGTGAAATATAGGATGTTTAATTTTGAATTTGTGAATGATAATAGTACAGTAGTAAAACATATTTCAACAGTAAAAAAATTCATTTTAAATTACTGTAATCTTCCCCTTTCTACTTTTGCACATTGCAATAGCTTTACTGCAGTACAGTAATTGTATGAAATGCAAGCTTTACAAATACAAAATGTTACTTTTGTTCTAAATCCATCAACTCCTTATTGGAAAAGAACAAAAGAAAAATAGGTGATCAGGGTGTCTCCCACTGGGTTATCAATAATGTTATTTATATCACAGAGCATGTAGATCATAGGTATGCACACATATTTGTGTCTCTAGTGTGCACTCAAATAAAACTAATGTGCACATTCTTTAAACAATAAAACGTGCAGTTGTTGCTGTTATTACACTGTATACACATGTCATATATATACAGTATGTCTACATTTTATGCACCATAAAGAAATGCCAAACAGTTTTGGTGGTGTGATAGTGAAATTCAAGTACAGCATAGAGCCATGCACTATCATCAGGTAATGCCACCTGATGCAGCAAAATGCCTCCAGTATATAGTACTCTGCACAAAGCCACAATACGGCTATTATCATCCGATTCCTGGTCACTAAATCATAAATAGAACTACTCGGTAATTTTCCACAAGTTTATTTTCTAAGAGAATGCGAGATCCTGTTGCATGATGCATAGATGCGTCAAACTGTGGCTGTGCACTTGGGTGTCTGCCTCATTTTGGGAACGTCGTCACCAGCATTAGGTTTACTGATACCTGAACCTTGTACATAGTCTTTATCACTGTCAGACTCTTCTATGTCACTATCAATAAATAATTGCAACAACTTATTTATTTCATCATCGTTAAGTGATGCTGTGGGCATGAGATACATGCACTACACATGGTTGCTGTGTTAGTACTGCGGCCCTCATACCTACAATTTTTTCCAAGATGGCATCTGTTTACTGGAGACCGAAGGAAGTGAATGTATGCCCTCGTGTACCTGTGAGAGTTTTAAGTCTTTTTTCCTAGGCTTAACAACAACCCTGGTTAGTGTGCACACCATAGATGAAACAACTCTGGTTGTTATGTGTAGCTGAAGGTTTAAGGAATAAGTTTGCATTAGTCGATGACTGAGTATAAGCAGAAAGAAAGTAAATGATGTTGGATCTTCTTATCTTGAGGTTATCTTAAGACGATTTCAGGGCTTAGCGTCCCTGGGGCCCCAGTCCTCGACCAGGGCTCCTTTTTGTTACTCGTCCCCAGGATGCAGCCCATAGCAGCTGTCTAACTCCCAGGTACCTATTTACTGCTAGGTAACAGGAGCATCAGGGTGAAAGAAATTCTGCCTATTTTGTTTCTGCCTCCACTGGGGATCTAACCCGGAACCTCAGGACTATGAATCTGAAGCGCTGTCCACTTAACTGTCGGGCCCCTTTATACTAATAGCACTAATAGTCCTTAGGACTACTCTTCTTTGTGCGTCGGACAGGGGCTTGCATCTCTTTATTATTGCATTATCCATCCGTTCCAGTTAATAGGAGCTGTTCTCTTTATCAACAAAACTTTTTTTTTTTTAAATATTCGTTTAAAATCAATTTCTGAAAATGTTTTGATGAAAGTTTTACGAAGCTGAAGCCAATAAGTTGGAGATTTGTTTAACATTTTAAAGTAATTTTTACATAATTTGAATATTTTTCGAATTATACGCCCTTCAATGTCACACATCATGTGACGTTTTGTGCAGTGTAAGGGTTAATACGTATTGTCACTTTAGGGCATTTTTCCTGATTAAAACATGTGCCCTGCATATTTTGCTACATGTTTAAATGGTTCTGTATTCTAGGTCTTTAGTGATAACAAACATTAGCAGTAAAACTTGATAATTTCAGGTTATTCATCAGAGTTGTCATTACATTATAGTTAACAAATGCTATGATGTCCTCATCAACAGTAATTCCTCAGAAGATGAGGTAAGATTTCAGCTTTCTTTGTACTCTTGTTGAAATCTATATTTTATAATATTGATTTTTACAGCATATGTGTGTGTGTGTGTGTTTTGGATGTAACTAGTTTTGTCTTATAATATCTTGTACAGTATTAGGTAGTAGATAAATTAGGCTTCATCATTCTTCAAAGTCTTGAATAGGGCGGGTTACTATTTCTCTCATACGTAATTTTCTCCTTTTGGCCACATACACGGCAGTGCCACGTGGTGGCCTCACGCATATTACTCACTTCCATGTTGCTCCTTCTGTAAGTAGTTATATACACATTTGTCTTTCCTTTATTATTTTTCATCTGTTAGAAGTTCTTTCCTATAACTTTATCATATTTATCTACTTTGGGAGGGAATCATTTTGTTATGCATTCTTATTACCTAGTGGTGGCAGGAGGTGACTGCTTCATTTTTCCAATAACAAGCCAAAACATGAACAATTTTGAAAGGTGTTTCAGGAATTTACTCAAGTCTTCAACACCTGAAAGCTTCTGAAATGCCGAAGAAGATTTTGCACTTGGTTGCCATATCACGGATGGGCAATACCCAAATATAAAGCTATAGATAGTACAGTATTGTACTTTGAATTATATATCTTACTTTAAAGAAGAGTCTATAGTGTATATTGTTAAAATCAGTTTTTGATATAAAAGACTCCTTTCCAGAAGCACTATTGTCAGTTACTGTGTAATACTTTTGATTGTTGTTTTGATTCTTTGTTAATATACAGTATGTGTAATTTTCAGGTAACCGTGCAAATGCAACTGCGACAGCATTTTCCTGCCTTGGCCAATCAAAACCTTGGACATGAATTTAGATTTGCTCATCGTCTCGACTTTGCTACAAGTGGACTGTTGTGTATAGCACTTCACAAAAAAGCTGCAGCAGCAGCTGTAAAGTGTTTTGTTCATAAACGAGTTGACAAGTACTATTTGGCTCTTGTGAGGGGTCATGTCTCTAAAGAAATGTTGGATATATATCTTCCGATAGGTAAGTTAGCTTGTGATTTAAATATTATACAGGTTGAAATAGACTAAAGGTTCATATAAACTTAGATGATCTTCAGTATAAGTATGTACAATATTAACATTGAACGAAACTATATTTTCGGTATAAACAAATTTAACTTTGGCATGAAACATTAAAAATATTAAACTTTTGCCAAGACAAACAAAACCATTGAAAGTTAGTGAGAATAAGTGCCTGTAGCCCTGAGATGACTGAAAAGGAGGCCATTGCCACTGTCAGAACAAGACACTTAAAAGGAGTAAATAATTGTTTTAATTATTTATGGAATAATTTGGAAGCCGAAGCCGTAAATGCCAAAACACACACTACTTTTTTAAAGTACAGCTGGAAAAGATTAAGGCAAATGTGGGGACCTTTGACAAGCTGCCGGCTTCCTATCCTCGTTGAGGCCACTAGCATTAGTGGCTCTGGTAAGTTCAGGTAAATTACCTGTAATGAGGATATTCTTGTAAATCTTGTGGAATTTTTCCTTGCTATAGGTGATGATACACGTCCGGAATGGCATGGAATAAAAATGGCCACACCACTGAGCCATCATGCTAGCCACTGTCGAACTGCACACACACGACTTTTGATACTTCAGAGGGGTTTATATGATAGTAAGTCTCCACTACTTGCTTGTTCTCACCTTCTTGCATTTAATACTAATACTATCTTTTTCCTTAGTGTCCTCATTTGAAGGAAAAGCACTTGTCTACCGTCTACCCATGGACAAGTCTACTCTGCCAGGTAACCACATGTCAACAATTGCTAGACCAATATGACATGTCCTTAGATACTAAGAACGACAAGAAAAACACTGATGTAATATACACAGATTTCGTGAAAGCTTTCAACAGCTGTGACCATAATGTTATTGCATGCAAAATGCCCACAAAAAAGGAATTACTGTACTGGCAAATTAGGATGATAGGTCCTTAATTTCCTAACAAACAGAACCCAGTGTAATAGTGAACTGAGTAAAATTAGGGTTAGGTAAGAGAGTCACATGGAAAGTGCATACCCCACAGGACTCTGGGTCCTAGGTGTCTTTGAGCCAACGGGTGTCATGGCGGTGGCAAAACGAATAATTGTCACCCTGTAGCACAGATAACGAACAACCCTCAAATTTACAGAAGGTGAGAATAGGTTCGGAGGGAATATCCATTAGCTACACCAAACCTGTAGGGGGATTCCCAGGGCTTGAAGGGTAAATTAAGCATAAGCAGGACACTCAGGCACTGCTATGTTGGACCTAAAATTAAGCCAACGCAGGCTGGGCAACACAGCTATGATGGCTGACCTTGACGCACCTTATATCTTTAGAGAGAACCAGCCAATCCTTGATCCAGACTCTGGTCAAGAGAGAGAGGGGCAACAACAGCCCTGACTCGCCCAAAGTAAAGGCCACACCTAGCCTGAAGGACCTCTAAGAGAAACTCCCAAACATACCAGAGAAGAGAACTATCATTGCAGGGGCAGTGCTTAGGGAGCGCTTGGGGAAGGTAACCTTGAGCACATGCAGCCTTAAACACTCTGAAAGGCCAGGCCCATGTTGGTGGAGTTGGAGTTGGAATTAACTTCCCCAACAATGTTGGGGGGAGTTAATTCGGTGGGTTATGAGGCTTCATTCTCTTTTGAATCCAGCAGTGGTTCACCAACTTTCTGGGTGCCTTCCCTGGTGAGGTGGCGGAGTGTCATCTGCACCTTGCATCTCTTGTGAGTTGGGGGCCAGGTTCTGACTCCAATCCCTGGTAGGCTGAACTGAACTCAGCGGCTGATGCGATCTAGTAGTTGGGAGCCATCTTGATGAGATAGCTTCAAGGAGTCACAAGGAGCTCTTCCCATAAAAGTTGTTTTAACTCTAGAATTTGTGTGCCCATACCCTTAAACTTAAATAGTTTTCCTTATTTCTTTTCACCCCTGTTCTGTTTGTCTATTCCATATTTATGAGTTTCTATCACCTACACACAGGTAATAGATATGCAGAACAAGGCAGCAGAAATACACAAAATTTGGTAGATTTATTCTCATTTATTTAGGAAAACCCTCAATGCAGGAAAGGGTGAATGTTCTTCCACAACATTATGACTAGTCTCCTGAGCTATTTTCTGAAATTTAATATTATATTTTCTATTTTATTCCAGATTATCCAGCAACTAAGTTGCTCCTGAAGCCCATAACAGGCCGGCGTCACCAGCTTCGGATACACTTGTCAGAATCTGGTCATACCATTGTGGGAGACTTTACTTATTCAAATCGTCACGATCTCTCTCCTTTTCGCATGTTTCTTCATGCATATAGACTAGTACTGCCCTCTGAATTTGAATACATTGATGTGAAAACTGAAGATCCATTTTCTGAAAGTGACCCAAGAAATAAATGGGTTCCAGTAGAAACATTACATGAATTAATTGATGAAACCTTTGTCAAATTAAAATTGGGGAGGAAGTGGTACCAAAAAAATTTTTCCTAACCCTAAATATTGAATTTATATAAAATACAGTACAGTATATACTAGACACTAGTACACGAGAACAGATTTACCCGATAGCCAGAGCATATACGTATGTTTATTTCCTTATGTCTAGTTATGCTTGCAGGGGGTTGAGCTTCATCTCTTTAGTCCCACCTCTCAACTATCGATCAACTGGTCTACAGGTTCCTGAGGCTATTGGCCTCTTATCATATCTAAATTTGAAAAGACAGGGTTTATGTCTGCTGAAGAGTTCCGTGAAATGAATAGATTTTATTTATAAAATAATTACTAATTTACCTAATATAGGTAAAACAAAGCCTAGAGTTTTGGAATAAAAGGTAAGCAATATTTAGGTTACATCATCTACATCATTTCCCCGAGAATCTTGTAGGTAACAATCATGTCTCCCAAAACTTTTCTGTCTTCCAGGGACATGAGGTTTAATTCCGGTAGTGTTTCCTTGTAGCTCATGGCCCCCTCAGCTCGGGTACTAGTCTGGTGGTGTACCTCTGAACTTTCTTTAACTTCATCTTGTGCTGCTTCACAAGGTATGGACTCCATATTGGGGCTGCATATGCCAGGATTGGTTTGACATATGTGGTATACAGTACAAGGTCCTGAATGATTCCTTACACAAGTTTGTAAAGGCATTTCTTATGTTGGCCAACCGAGCATATGCTGCTGCTGGTATCCTCTTGATGTGGGCTTAAGGGGACAGATCTGGTGTGATGTCAGCCCCCAGATCTTTCTCTCCTAATTCCTGAAGGATTTCATTTTTCATATGATATCTTGTATCTGGCCTGCTCTCTACACCTATTTTCATTACTTTACACTTGTTTGAGTTAATTTTTAGTGGACATTTGTTGGATGACCCCATTTCTTTGAATCCCTGCTCCATGACTTATATTTCTCAGATTCCCTGTGCAGTGCCATTAAGTCTAGCCAGCCTCCAGTCTACCCTCTCGCCCAAGATGTTCATAAATATGTGGCTTAGGAAAACCGTCTTCTCTACCATGTCCGGTGCTGATATTTGAGCTCAGAGGCTTTTGACATTCTAACAGGGTTTTAGCAGCCTGGTATTTAGTCAATGTTCCTGGTTCCAATTGGTCATGTGCTGCTTTGGGCATTGTCTCCCAGCTTGGGTTTTCTTCTTCATCCTAGTGCCTGCCACTACTACTTCCTGGTGTGTCCCATTTTTGTTCTCTATGGTTAGCTTGAGCTTCAGGAAATCACTGAATGCCTCCCTCCAGAAACCCAGCATTGATTATAAGGAAACGTCTCCTGGAGGAGCCTTGGTGGCTCTCTCGATTCCCGCTCCCTCCAGGATCCTCGGTTTGCTACGGGTTTTTCATCACGTCCAGAAATGAGATTGGGAGTCAACTCGGGGCTGGGGCCAGTCTGCCTGGTAGTAGTAATTGATTCCAACAATTTTGAGCTAGTTGGGTGAATCATTTGCAAAGTTGTTCAGTGGTTTTTAGGCTTCATTTTCTGTGAACCCTCCAGTTGCTTGTAAAGCTGTGCTGACTTTCTGGAGGCTTTTTCCGGTGGGGTGGCGGATTCATTGTCACCCGCTCCCCATGCTTCCCTGAGAGGGCCAGATTCTGACTCTGGTCTCCGGCAGGCCAAATAGAACTTCCATGACTGATGTGACCTTTTAGCATGAAGAAATGTCAGCTTCAGAGTTTCCGAGCTTCCACTAGAAAGAGGCGTTTCATTACATTGAGCAATGGGCTTTTTCCACAATTAATCTCCTTATAATACAAATGATTAAACATTTATACATAAAGTATTTTAATATTGATACCACAAATTTGATGAGTGGTATTCTCAGCAATCTGAATACCTAAACCACTGCACCAGATATCAACAGCATCAGAGTCCTTCTGTTGTATCAGATTTGATAGTGAGCCAAGAAATTAAGTCCAGATGTAACACTAAGACTGTTTCTATTTCCGCCCACACTCCTAAAATGGAAAATACTTAGTAACCATGTGGTCGATTGTACATATGTTGATGTGATGGACCAATAGAAAGTAGACTTGTATTAATGAATTTGGGCAAACTGGAAAAGTTTTTCTATATATTGCTAGTGAAGCCTAACATAATCATCCTAGGCCTAATACTGTTCATGCTATCTGAGGCCTAATATAGTACATATATATACACTCTACTCGGTCTAGGAATATTTAAGTTTGGTTTTTAGTTTGTTTTTCTGGAGACTCTAAAATGAATACTGTAGTACAGTACCAAGTTCCTGCCAGGGCCAGATGCTCTGTTTAGTACATCTCCTCTCCATGCAATTGCAATAGGTGTTGGAAATTTTAACATGGTCCCATGAAATCCATTAGTGAGATGTCGTTTTGCCTCCTTGTGTGGAGACCCCTGATCATTCTAAGACAATGCTTTTCTCCCCAGGCTTGCTGCATTAACTGCGATGAGGCCCATCCCCGCACATGCATGCACTAAATTTGAATAAGCCATCCTCAATTTAAAACATCTTGAACGTATATCTTTCCCCGAGGCAAGACATCAAGTCCGCTGTCTTACCCTTTTCTCTGACAACGTATGCTCGTGCATTATGTTGCACTTCCCTTTATAAGTCCCACAGTCGTTTCCAAGCTTAAACCCTGACACTTCCTTGCCATCTTTAGCTACTCTGCAATCTCATGCTAAGGGCCGTTTCTCGTGATTCACAGACAGGTATCTGTCTCCACCTTTCCAGTCTTCTGCTACCCTTCATCTTATTGTAACTACTCAAACTCCTCCATCTTCACTATCCACCGTGGCCTTAAACACCTGTTGGACTAGTTACTGGAGCTTTTTCTCCTTTTTTGGATGTTTTAACTGTTCGCATGCTCTCTGAGGTAATTATTTGACAAATACCCATGGCTGCCTTCTTGAAGCTTTAGTCCTTTCCTGAATTCTGACGAACATACTCACATTAACTCATGTACTTGCACCCTTTCCTGTCTTGACCTTTCTCTGCTCCTATGTTTATATAAACCTGACATGGAGGGTCCTTGATGACCTTCATAATCATTTCCCCATCCTTATAACCTTTTTTTTTCCTCTGTGGCAGTTTGAAAAGGCTGCCTGGAGTCTATTCAAACTCAATGCTGCTCTTTTTAACCTATATGAACTGCCTCTCCCTCAAACTCTCCTCCTTTTTCGATTCTGCCCTCCATTCTATTCCTCTTGTGGCATGCAGAAACGTGTTCCCTGGTGGAATCTAGACTATGCTCGGGCTGTACACTGTAAGTGTGCAGCCTGGAAAGACACAGATACAGACAGAAACCTAATTCATTTATTTTGTTTCAGAAGGCGATTGCAGTGGCCCAGGACCATCCGTACAAGTAAGCATGGGAGTTAGAAATCTTGCGTCACCACCATTATGGCCAACACCCCTCTCACTCAGATCTGGAAGAAAATCCATAAGATTGCAGGTAAATTTGTTCCAAACATTGAGCTTGTCCTTCAGCACCGTGGTTCTGTTATCGCTGATCTCGTGTTGGTCGCAAATGAACTGGGTTCGCATTTTTCAACAGTTAGCTCTGGTACTCATCTTTCTCCTACTTTCCTTACTTGTAAACAGTTATTGAATACCTTCCCTTAGACTTTAGCACCCACCTACAACTCCTCTATAATGACTATTCTCTCTTTCTGAACTCCAGTCTGCCCTAACCCTTTGCAGTTCAAAGGTGGCAGGCTTGGACAGCATTCATTATGTCATCTCCTCCAGTCAACTTTTCAGCTTTTGCTGAATATTTATAACTGTATTTGGTAGACATCATCAGCTCTCGAGGACTAGCTTGAGGCAGTTCTTCCTGTTTGGAAACCTGGTACTTGAGGGACTTTCCCTAAAGATTTTCACCCCATTGCCCTGATGAGTTGAAATTGCAAACTTTTTGAACATATGGTCAATGTACATCTGATGTATTTCTTAGAACACTATCACCATCTCTTTCCCCTTGCAATTTGGCTTTCACAAGTGTTGCAGCACAACTGATGTTTTAGTGGACTTAATAGGTCTACATTCATACTGCCTTTGCTGTGAAAACCTTTGTGGTTGCAGTTCTTTTTGACCTAGAAAAGGCTTATGACACCACCTGAAGATAAAATATTTTATCCCAACTATGTTTTTTTGGCCTTCATGGCAGCCTCCAATTTTCCTTCATAGCTTCCTTTTCAGTCATACATTTAAAGTGAGACTTGGTACCACTTTCTTGTGACTCCTTTCAATAATATGAAGATGTTCCCCAAGGTAGTGTTATGAGCACTACTATTTTCCTAGTTCACCTAAATGGTCATCCTTCCTATCGTCCATCTGGTATTTTTTGGCCCTCTATGATTTTCACTCTCTGCTGTCAGGGTGATGAATCCACTTGACTCCAATGAGTTTCAACATGCAATGGATGCAGTGTCATTGGGCCATCATTCATGGTTCAAATTCTCTCTGCTAAGACTTGTGCTATGACTCTTACTAGGAAGCAGGTCGTTCTTTGTCCACCAATGTCGTCTCCCTTTCTGTATAATGATTCTGCTAAAACTTTTGGGGTTGATTTTTAATTTCCTGTCGTCTTGGTCACCTCATATATCATACCATCGAGTTGAATATTCTGATGCCCTTGCTTTACTGGAAGACTTGTCCAGTTCTGTACTTCATGGGGAGCTGATACACACACTTCTATCTGCAGTGCTCTCTTGTGCTGTCTAAACTCGATTATGGCTGTCCCGCCTACTCCTCCATCTCTTTGCCGTCTTAATTTTCTGCACCATATTAGGTTATGCTTTAGCTCTGGTGCCTTTTTTTAATCCCCTACCCTGAGCTAGTATGCTAAAACCTGAGTTCTGTCTACAGGATCGTCATGATCATTACTGTCTTCACTGCCTTGTGTGCTCCCTGCAACATCCTCACTTTTGCTTATGTCATGCTTTGAGTGTTATCCCTCTTGTGGGGTCTCCCTTTCACCACCTTCCTTTTTCTGAATGAATGTTTCATTTGGAAGATTCCCTCTCAGTTCATGTTAGCAATATCTCTCCTCGTGTCATTCTGTCTTTGCCACCATGGATGGTCCCACTTGCAAAACCTTGACCCTCATAGCAAAGGGTTCTACACCCCCTTCTCTATGGTTATGAAACACCTTTTCATTGAACTTGTGCTCTATCACCCTTGTCACAGATGGGTTTTTAAGTGTGCCAAGGGTTACTACGCTGTCTTTCCTGACTAAACATATATGTGCTGCCTGCCTCCCGAGACTAGCACCTTTACGGCTGAACTTTTTGTAATCTTATATTTACTTTATCAACCACTTTTCCAACACCAACATTACTTTGTCATTGTTCTTGACTCTTGCAGTCATTTAACCCTATGCTTCCTGTGGTTGTTGAAATTCAACATTTCCTATTTCTTATCTAGCAGATTAAAGGCAGTTGAGTTTTGCTGGGTTCCCAACCATATTGGTATTACTTTAAACGAGCATGCGGACACTGCCACTAAGGGGGCTGTCCACACTTGTCCTATTTCCAAAAAAGGTGTACTTTTTGCAGACTTCTACCTACTCATTCCACAATCTGTGACTGTCGGTAACTAATAACAAGCTGTACATTCTCAAAAGTAACATATCCCGTTGGCCTTCCTCCTACTACTGTAACCGATGGTTGGAAACAGCTTTGGCTGGGTTACATAGTGGCCATACATGGCACTTAATGGAATTCCACCCTGCTCCTTTTTGTCTGAACTACATGTCTTACTTTCCTAATGTCTCTTGGAAAAAAATCCTTGAATCTAATCCCTTTAATATTGCTCACCGTGTGTGTTTTTATTCTCGGCATTATCAGTAATATTTAGACACTTTTGAATATCCAGACACTGATGATGCTATATAGTCTTCCCTGGCTTGGTGCCTTCTTTTGATAACAAATATTCGGTTCCAGTAAGTAATTAAGTATGTGGCAGATAAAGAAGTTTCACTGTAAATATTTGCAGTTTTTTCAGTGGATTCACAGATTCATAGTACTGTACAGTATACCATGAACTTTACACTGCAGTAAACAGAAAAATACCCAGAAGGGATGGCCAAAATTTAATTTATAATAAAATACTGGAATTGGGAGAAAGAGCATCATGATAATATTATAATTTTATTTAAAAAAATTATAAATGCATTTCACATGTACAATACATTGGCAAATCTACTGATAAATTGATCCCAAATCTGCTACAAAAAATTATGCTTCTGGTGAAATGTGCTTTCACTTCTAAAAATAATATAAAAATACTGATGAAACCAATTCTTCAAGATCCGATATCTGATTATGCAGGAAAACAACCTGAAAGAAAATTTAAATTTATTAATTTTTTTTGCAAGTACAACACTGTAAATTTGAAAACAAAATAATTTTTGGTACATAATGCATAAAAAAAGTAATGTCTTTTTTGCATAAGCCCCGGTGACTCTCTTAAGCCATATCACTAAGATTGCCCATGCAAATGTGTTGCATTGAACACAGGTGTTCTGTCCTGACCTTACCCTCACAGAGGCAGACGGTGACAATTTACAACCACACCAGGAAAGCATTTAGAAACTTGGTAAAGCATCACAAACTGGAGGTTTAAGGTCCAAATACTGTACTAAAAAATGCCAAACAACTTCCCCAAATGATTCATATGAAAGTAATCATCAAAAGAAGGTACCAAGCCAGGGAGACTATGTAGCACCATCAGTGTCTGTGGATATTCAAAAGTTGCTAAATATCACAGAGGATGCCAAGATGAGACTAAAAAAACACAAGGCAAGCAGTATTAAAGGGATTAGATTCAAAGATCTTTTTCAAGACACATTAGGAAAGCAAGACATACAATTGTCCTGTAAATTGGGACATTCCACAAGGTGCATGACTAAGTGGGACAATATAGCCGAGACAAAAAGGAGCAGGGTGGAATTCCATTAAGTGCTGTGTATGACCACTACGTAACCCAGCCAAAGCTGTATCCAACCATCGGTTACAGTGGTAGGAGGAAGGCCAAGGGGATATGTTACTTTTGAGAATGTAGTTTGTTATTAGTTACCGACAGTCATGGATTGTGGAATGAGTAGGTAGAAGTCTACAAAAAGTATACCTTTTTTGGAAATAGAACAAGTGTTGACAGCCCCCTTAGTGGCAGTGTCCGCATGCTCATTTAAAGTAATACCAATATGGTTGGGAACCCAGCAAAACTCAACTGCTAGATAAGAAATAGGAAATGTTGCATTTCAACAACCACAGGAAGCATAGGGTTAAATGACTGCAAGAGTCAAGAACAATGACAAAGTAACGGTGTTGGAAAAGTGGTTGATAAAGTAAATATAAGATTACAAAAAGTTCAGCTGTAGAGATGCTAGTCTCAGGTAGGCGGCACATACATGTTTAGTCAGATAAGACAAAGGAGTAGCCTACACCCTTGGCAGACTGAGGCCCACCAGTGAAGAGGGTGATGGAACGTGCGTGTGAAGTATTAAAGGAAAAGGCATTTCATAACCATGGAGAAGGGGAGTAAAAGCCTTTACTATGTGGGCCAAGGTCTTGCAAACCTTTGCAAGTGGGACCATTCATGGCAGCAAAGATGAACGACAAGAGGAGATAGGAAACGAGAGGGAATCTTCCTAGTGAGACATTCACACAGAAAAACAAAGGTAGTGAAAAGGAAAAGGGTCCACATGAATGGCAACAGTCAAAGCATGGCATATGCAAGAGGGTGTTGCAGGGAGCGCACAAAGCAGCGAAGACGATAACGATCATGACGATGCTGTAGAGACAGGGCTCAGGGTAGGGGATGAATAAAAGGCACCACAGCTGAGGAATAACATAGTATGGTGCAGAGCATCAACATCAAGACGATGAAGAGGCAGAGGAGTAGGCCATAATTGAGTTTAGACAGTATGAGAGAGGACTGAAAGTGTGTGTGTATCAGCTCCCCAAGAAGTATAGAATTGGATGAGACTTCCAGTAAAGTAAGGGCATCAGCGCATTCAATTCAATGGCAAGATATGAGGTGACCAAGACAACAGGGAGTCAAAAATCAACCCCGAAAGTTTTTAGCAGAATCTTTATACAGAAAGGGACTACCAGAGTGACATTGGTGGACGAAGAATGACTTGCTTTCGAGTAAAATCATAGCACAAGTCTTAGTGGAGAGAACTTGAAGCCATGATTGATGGCCCAAAACGAAATGGCATCAATTGTATGTTGAAGCCATCATTTGAGGAAAGTGGAGTCATCACCCTGACAGCAGAGTGAAATAAACATAGAGGGCCAAAAAATACCAGAAGGAAGAAAGGAATGATGACCATTTAGGGCAACTAGGACAATAGTAGTGTTCAGAACACTACTTTGAGGAACACCTTCATATTGTTGAAAGGAGTCAGAGAAAGTGGGAAGTCTCACATTAAATTAATAACTGAAAAGGAAGCTTTGGAGGAAATGTAGGAGGCTGCCATGAAGGCTACAAGAGCGTAGTTGGGATAAAATATTTTATATCCAGGTAGTGATAAGCCTTTTCTAGGTCAAAAAGAACTGCAATAACAGAGGACTTTATAGCAAAGGCAGTATGAATATAGACTTCTAGTCCACTACAATATCAGTTGTGCTATGACACTGTGAAAGCCAGATTGAGAGTGATGTGTGGCAATAGTGTTCTAAGAACTACATCAGATGTACACTGACCACATGTTTAAAAAGTTTGCAATTTCAACTCGGTGCAATACGATGAAAATCTTTAGGGAAAGTCCCTCGAGTACCAGGTTTCCAAACGGGAAGAACTGTCTCAAGCCAGTTCTTGGGGATTGATGATGTCTACCAAATACTGTACAGTTACAGATATTTAGCGAAAACTGAAAAGTGTGACTGGAAGAGATGACATATTGAATGCTGTCGAAGACTATAGTTTAGTAAAAGGTTGTTGTAGGTGGGTGCTAAAATCTAAGAAGGGGTTTACGAGTGAGGACAGTAGGAGAAAACGAGTACCAGAGCTCACTATTGAAAAATGCGAACCCAGTTCGCTTGCGACCATCACTGGAAGTGAAGGACAAGCTTCATGTCTGGAACAAATTTACCTGCAATCTTAATGATACTCATCCAGATCTGAGTGGGGGGGGGGGAGGGAAGAGGTGTTGGCTGTAATGATGGTGAGGTAAAACTTCGAACTCTCACACTTGTACAGATGATCCTATGGGGCTACTGGGAACACATTTCTGCATACCATGCAAGGAAAGACTTGTATCAGGTCACGTTTGTTAGAAAGGTTAGCATTTTGAGTATTTACTGTGAAGAGTTGGCAGCAACAAAGCCAGGACTAAGGTTCTTGTGTATCAGAGCCGATTCAACAAGATGACATCTGTGAAGAGTAAAGGCAGGAAAGATTATTTGAGGAAGACCAATCAATAGGCTGAGCAGAATCCCTACCATGACAGGAGAGAGCATAGTTAGTGTCTGCAGACTTAAGACTTGAAGAACACAAAAGTGTTGTCATTTAGTGTACGGCCAGTTTCCTTAAAGTATTTGAGCAGACAAAATGAACAGGAAATAGAGTAGACACCAGCAGCATTAGAAGCAGGAGCAACAGTGTGAATCTGTTGATTCTACAATGTTCAATACAACTACAATGAAGAACTAACGCTCTTTGTAGTAATCTGGTTCACACTGCCGCTGGTGTCTACTCCATTTCCTGTTCCTTTTGTCTGCTCAAATACTTTAAGGAAACTGGCCGTACACTAAATGACAACACTTTTGTGTTCTTCAAGTCTTAAGTCTGCAGACACTAACTATGCTCTCTCCTGTCATGGTAGGGATTCTGCTCAGCCTATTGATTGGTCTTCCTCAAATAATCTTTCCTGCCTTTACTCTTCACAGATGTCATCTTGTTGAATCGGCTGATACACACGAACCTTAGCCCTGGCTTTGTTGCTGCCGAGTCTTCCCTTTCACAAATGCTCTAACCTTTCTAACAAATGTGACCTGACATAAGCCTACCCCCCCCCCCTCTCCTCTTATTCTTACTTTCCTGTTTTCCTTCACCCCATTGTTACACCTATTTCATCTGTACTTCTTGCCTTAATTAATGCCCATGCCTCCGTCACTCCCATCACAATCGATAAAAGTCCAGGACGGACCGAAACGTCGTCGTCTCATCTGCTGGTGTGTGGTTTGGTCATCATATTTTTCAGATAGTTGACCCAGAGAGCATGCCAACAGTTAAAATATCCAAAATGGAGCAAAAGCTCCAGTAATGAGTCCAACAGGTGTTTAAGAAGAAAGGGGGAATATGTGGAGAACTATGTACCATTTACTCACAAAGATACAGGCAGCAGAGGAATGAATGTTTGAATGAAAGAGCAGAGGGTCAAAATGAATTTCATTTCGAACCAAGAAAACAGTTAGGGGTCCCAACATAACTGGAGGGTAAGAGAGAGAGAGAGAGGAATAACTGCAGAAGTGACCAGGGTAAGTGCCTAGCATCAGCTCCTGGAGACATACACAAAGCAGTGAAAACAGATCAGAAGTTGGAGTTTATAGAAATTGGCATAAAAATGTATAAAATAGTCAAGAACAGATAAAACATTAAAAAAGAAAAAAAGAAAAAAAAACTAAGACAAAGAATGGCAAATTAGAAAGGATCAGCAGGAAGTATATAGGTAAATCTAGCAAAGACAATATGGTTGAGAAGGTGGGACAGTCAGAAGTGGAAAATGGGTGTGGGAAGGAAGTCAGTGTTTCTGACTGCGAGAGACATGGGTGTGCCAGTAGTGGTTTCGGGTGGCGAACTAGAGTGGACACAAGGACGTCTCAGAAAATTATGTACCAAATATTGGTCAGAAAAAGTTGGACATTATGGGAAGGCTGAGAAGAAAAATGGGGACTAAAGCTGTAGGCCACAGTAGATGGAGGTGAAGTAATTCCACTAAGATGAAGGGTAGCAGAAGACTGGAAGGTAGATACCGGTCAGTAAACCACGAGAAACACCCTTGGCGTGAGATCGCAGAGGAGCTGAAGATGGGGAGGGAGTGTCAAGGTTCAAGGCCTGGAAACGACTACGGGACTGATAAAGGGAAGTGCAATGTAATGCATGAGCATATGTTGTCGGAGAAAAGGGTAAGACAGCGGACGTGACGTCCTGCCTCAGGGAAAAATATACGTTCACGATGTTTTATATTGAGGATGGCCTATTCACACTTAGTGCATGCATGTGTGGGGATGGGCCTCATTACAGTGAATGCAGCAAGCTTGGGAAGAAGAGCACAGTCTTAGAATGATCAGGGTCTCCACACAAAGGAAAAAATGACATCTCGCTAGTGGATTTCATAGGATCATGTTCAAATTTTCAACACCTCTTGCAATGGCATGGAGTACTCCTGGATGTACTCCTGAACAGAGCATCTGGCCCTTGCAAGAATTAGAGGACAATTGTGGACAATTGTAGGAGTTTACACCTTAAACCCTTACAATCAAAAGTGATCTTAACAATAACAAGAGGACAAAGACAATGACCATGAAGGGGGACAAGTGAAGGAGTCAATATGGATAGAGAATCCCTGAGTTGGATATATTTAATATCCTTAGAGTAGTCTTTGAGGTTACGATCACCAGTTGCATCATGGTGCAGGAGAACAACAATGTCAATGCTGGCATTAAATGGTGTTTTTCGGACACCTGAACCGAACTGGGGTTTCACCACGGAAGGTCAAAGTAGCAAGACGAGCGACTGTTTACACGTGTGCCAGTCCGAGTGGGGTTAAAAGTAACCTGGGAATCCAGAGTCAACCAAGTGTCTATGGATATACACATCAGGACAGATATGATCGCCGGGACGAAGATCATAATACATAGACCATGTAGAGGATATGTATTATGCCATACAAATCCTGGAATGTAGCAGCGTAAGCAGGAAGCGATCGTGCGCGAGCATGGTAACTGTGCCGAGGACCTCTGTGAAGGTGAGGGATGAACGGCGCACCCAGAGGAGCGAGGTAGTCACCACAAGGGGGTTGGAGCACAACCCAGCCACAGAAGTGGGAAAGGAGCGTGGAGTGTCAATAGGGATATTCAGAGATGTAGCCGGGTCTGGGATCAGCATAGTCAAGGCTATGAAGCATCCTTCCATCACAGATCAACTCTGGGGCCTGGTCGCCTGCCTTACTTGTCTTAGAATGGGAAATAAGAGGATTTGAAATCTGCATAGAATGAACACAAACAAAATTACCCTCAATTAGAGGACAGGGATCCTGACAGAACAGGGCCTTCCCAGGGGGATGCATTGTGGATATACACCCTGCAATCATTACCTTAAGAACTGTCAGTTTGTAATGATCAGGTTAAGCAATGAAGCGTGTTTGATGTCAACGAAAGTTTGACATAAAAGCTTCCCTTGCTCAAACACGTCAGGTACCCCAGTTCCATGGGTGAGTGTGCGCACCATCTTAACTCACCCTCCATCAGAACATATCTCAAACAAAAGAATATTCGAGATCGAAACCGAATCATCAGGAAGCTTCATCCAGAAAGTAGAACTGGCAAGGGAAGAAAGAAACAAGAGAAAAAGGTGTCAAGCAAAATTAGTAAAGAAGACTGCAGGAGCACATGGCACAAAAAGGACAGATGAAATGCCTATCCTATTGAGCATCACACACTGGCAGCCATCTACCAAGCCCCCTTCCAATTAGTAACTGTGAGAAGTAAGCACCAAGCCTGAAGACTATTTAACATCACCTGTAGTCCCCCTCCCTATCCAGCCTGCTGTCGTCGTGAGGGGGTCAGTGGGCGGCTGTCGGAGTGTGATGCTCCATGGGACAGCATGTCCTGTCCTTTTAAAGCCTTATGCTTCTGTCTTCACTAATTGTGCTGGATGCTTTTTCCTCTTCATGTTTCATATTTCCTCCCCCACCTCTTCTCCTTTCCGATTGTTCCTGCCTGCCGACTTTTTAATGTTCTTTCCGATGTCTTCTTTTGCTTCGACACCGGGTGTTTGGGGAGGCGCACACACTCGCCCATAAAACTGTGGTACCCGACACTGTCGAGCGAGGGGACATTTTTATTGTTAAACTTTGCCTTTGTTGCTGAGCCCAATCTCAATGGACTGACTGTTTTTAAGGAGACGATTGCAGGGTGTATAGCCATGATGGACCCCTGGAGGGGCCCCCGTCTTGTCAGGTGTCCTATTCTCCAATTGTGACTCCATGGTGGGTATGGGGGGAGGGCTCATTCGTGGATAAAATATCTATTCCTGTTTGTTTCTATGCCAATATCTGACCCTCATTCAACTTCTTAGACTTGTAAGGGTAAGGTGGGTGACCAGGTCCCCGAGTCAGACCGATGAAAGGCTGGGCTCTATAGCTCCCGCTACATTAAGCCCAAAGCAAGCTGCTTCTCTGACTCTCAGCTCCCTTCCCACCTCTGCAACCCCAAGCCCCCAGTGGTGACCACCTTGAATGGGTCCCTCTCTCGTTGTAACGACTGCGTCTTTTAACTCCCCTCTCCTCCTCACTGGGGGTGCTTGGCACCCCCAGTGAGGTGCCAAGCACCTCACCGTCACCTCTGCACTCGCATGATTCCTTCCCAATCTAATACATTCCAAGCTTTGTTTGGTCCAGCTAAGTGGGCTAAATATTTTGATCTCAGTTATGTTGATCCTACACATCCTGGCGATGTATTATCCATAAACCCCAAATTGATTCGGTGGATACCTTTGTCACTAACTTCAACTTTACTGGTACACATGTTGTTGCAGCCCCTTTTTGGGAAGCGTCTGAATGCTTGGCTTAGTTCTACGTTGAAGACCTTCCCCCTCCCCGCACTGTTCGAATCTCAAAAAATGCCCAGTTAAATGCCAGCATTGGCACAGTTATTCTCCTGCACCAAGTTGCGATTGGTGATAGAGAACCGAGACTGCCATACGGATATTAAATATATCCTCAAGGCCCAAGGCAATTCTATCCTCCAGATTTTTTTTCATACACTCATTTGACCCACTCTGCGGTCGTGGTTGTCAGTCTCTTCGCATAGTGAAGATCACTTTTGATAACATGTCCCTTCCATCTTATGTAATTCTTGCTGGTGCCAGATGCTCCATATAGGGAGGAGCGAGGTAGAAGGGATGTAATCAGATATCTTTGATATTGTTCGCCTTACGCACTTTTTGTTCTAGTATTGGCATCCATAGTGATATTTAGTACCTTTTGAATATCTCGCACATTTGATGGGGCTACATAGTCTTCCCGGCTAGGCGCCTTCTTTTGATAACTACCGTCTTACTGTCTGTGGTGTGGAACAGGAAAATAAAAATTCAGAGATATTTGGAATATTAATTCAAAAGCAGAGACTAATGCTGTCAATGAATTGGATTTTACAAGGATTTTATTAGTGGACAAGTGACTCAAAGGGACATTTAAGTAATTATCAAAAGAGGGCACCAAGCTGGGGAGACCATGTAACACCTCCAGTGTTGCTGCATATTCAAAAGGCACTAAATATCACTGTGGTTGCCAATACAAGAACAAAAGCATACAAGTCGAGTGTTATTAAAGGTATCGGATTCACCAAGGATTCTATAGAGGGCCAAATGACCACTAGGGACAGTAGGGAATCAAGATGCACGAACATCCTGAAAATGAGGACATTTAAGAAGATGGATTAGTGCATGACATCCGAGCCCACTGCTATGGATTCGTGCATTAAATATAGTGACAAAAGCATTGAAATATTAGGTTTGCTAAATTTGTAATGTGACAAAAATCTGTACACACACCATTGGTCATAATAGTAAATGTTATTTCTAATGTGGCAGAAAGCATCCACACAGCATTCTATCCACAGTGCTAAATTATGTATAATTCAAGCTGACATTATCATACATAAAGAGTACTATACATTCTGGGTTTCATTAATCATACCTGATGTTGCATTTCATCAACTGTGCCTACTCTCAAGCTATACGAAATTTCTTTCATCCTAAACATGCTTTCAACACTAGTAGCACTGTACTATGTCTTCCCTTCATATCCGAACTCAAAACTTTTACCAATACCTTTCGTCCTCTTGACATTAAGCTCGCCTTTCGACAAACTAACACACTTCGTAGCAATCTAGTTCACACACTACTCCTCCTGCTTCTAATGCTGCTGGTGTCTACTCTTATTTCCTATTTGTCTTGTCCTCTCCAATACTTTGGCGAACTGGCTGTACACTGAATGACATACTTAAAGAACACGAGAAGTGTAAAGCCTGCAGACAATAACAATGCTCTCTTCTGTCATGTGAGGGATTCTAATCATCCTATTGATTGGTCTTCCTCCAAAATAATCTTTCTTGGCTCTACTCTACACAGATGCCGTCTTGTTGAATCGGCTCTAATACACAATGTACCCAACATGAACTTGAGTCCTGGCTTTGTTGCTGTGAACTCTTCCCTTTCACATTATATACTCAAATGCTCTAATCTTTCTAACAAATGTGACCTAACATAAACTTACCCTTCCATTTATCTTTCTTTCTATTTCCTTTTATTTCTCTCTTCTCTCTTTTTTTCTATTCATTGTCTTCTCCTACGTTCCCTTGCTATCCTCTTCTTATTCCTATTACTATCTCCTTCTCATCTGGTTATAATAGGAGCTGCCTCGTATGGGCCAATAGGCCCTCTGCAGTTCTTATTCCTACTACTATCCCCTCTACTACACCTTTGCTCCTCACCTCTCTCTTGCCTATTTATTGCCTGTCTCTACTTCCTCATCACAATCGACTTGAGAATGGTCCAGAATGGACCGAAACGTCGTCGTCCCTTCACCTAGTGTGTGGTCTGGTCAACTTACCTTTCTCTTCAAATTTGGCTCTTAGTGGATGATTGTCTTTCACGGTGAAAGGTAACACAGCTGTTTCATAGTAGTCTCCACACGTTTCCAAGTTGCTGATCACAGATGACAGGAGATGTGCTTTACCTGCCCATGTTCCTAAGAAAAGTACAAATGGTAACAGTATTTTACTATCATTTTTATAGTCTCCATCATTCCCTTGTTTCCCACTTTCAGTGGGGAAAAACAAGGGGTTTTCTCTGAGAAGATTGGAGAGTAATACAGGAAAAGGATGTTAAAAGATATTTGAAGTGATACCCATTCATACAAATCACTTTTTCACATAATACACCATCTGCACTGGCACGGCAGGAATCTCTTAAACTGCCTTTGCTGGGTTAAATTGGTGCTAAAGAGACTGGAGAAGCTACTTGGCATCACAGACTGCCATGCAGTGCTGTTGCCCTCTACCAGTTGGCCAATCTGGTCATCTTCCACAATTGTCTCCAGTTAGATCTTGCACCACAACAGGATCCTCTTGACTTAAGCCTTCACACATTCTTCCAGACTTGTGTCTGTGCCAGTTTTGAGCAGGCTAGAGGCCACACTTTGGTAAAATGAATTCTTGTCTATCCTTAGAAACATTAATTTCATTGTGTTGTTGGCCAATGCATAAGTGTATACCTGTACTTTTCAACTGCTAGATGTTAATCTTATCTTCAAGAGTTAGTCAACTCCTCTTCATTGCAGACAGATAAGCAATTCAGCAGTGAATACTATATCTCCTATCAAGATTAACACTGTATTTGCAGGTCCCTAGAATTAATTTCCAGGATGTAGGTGTTTACACTGTGCACCAATTTATTATCGAGAGCACATTTGCTCACGACACCATCCAAGTGAGAGAACTTAGTGAATTTTGTTTATGCCCTGGTAGTGCCCTCACAATTTGTTGTTACAGAAGATGTTGTCAGATACAAAGATAAAAAAAAATAAGTATTAAAACTAAAATAGTTAACACTGGATTACATTGTCCAGTAGATATATAAAAGTTAGGTTTATAATAATACTAGAGTAGGCTAGTAAATTTCAAGTCTATATGACTTAAGGTCTAAAGATATGACAGAACATGACAAAAAAAAAGTTGTCTAGACTACAATGTTTGATATCAATAGAAACAATACTCTTTGCTCAAAAATAAGTATTTCAAGTATACACAAAATTAATGTAAAAACACAAATCAAAACCAATTGGAACAAAACATACAAAATACTGTATAGTAAAAATCAAACTATTTGTACTGAGGATACCTAATTAAGTGAATTTAAACTTACCTGGAGCTTCAAAGGAGAGGGCTGTAAAGTGAACGTGTAGATGATAGAATGAAGGCTGGTAATGCAGGTATATGCGCTGCTTATACGACGGCAACCCATACTTCTCCTTGATGGCTTCCTGTAAAGAAATATTTCTGCACATTTGTAATCTGCGAGACAACGTTCATAAAGTCACGTTTAGCTTGTAAAGAAATGCTTGTAAATTTCTAAATCTTTCTATTTCAAACTGCTCGCTCATTAGAAAATTAATTCTTATGCATGCACTACTTCCTACGTAGAAACTTAACAGTTAACAGAAATTTATACATTCTATACATGTTTATCACTTTCTAAAATGTTTCTATATTAATTTTGTCATATGCTTTATATGACAAAATGTCATATAAAGCATATGACAAATGTACATGGCCTTTATCCATAAAGGCCATGTACACCTCACAATCCTTTTCATCATAGTTTTACAGCTGTTTATTGGATTTCTTTCATATTATGTCTTGCATTCAAGTTCCAAAATTATTGTTTTATTGTACAGAAAAAAGAAAACAAAATGGCTTACAAAATTTTTTGAATTTTCACAGGGGCTCATGTCGCCCTCAGTGGGACATGCGCTACGAGCTCCTCTGTGAGGAGGGGGGTGGGGCAGGGTTTGGCTTCTGCTCCCAATCTAATGCCTATGAAGGTGCACAAGCAAATTCCACTCATCGTGAATGCATTTTTCATTGTGAATGATCCAGATTGTACTCTGTTGACTATTACACTCTGGGTTCTGTTTGTTAGAAAATTAAAGATCCATCTCCCTACTTTTGGCAGTAATTCTTTTTGTGCACATTTTGTGTTCAATAACACTATGGTCATATTTGTTGAAGGCTTCACAACTTTCTGGAGGCTTTTTCCCGGTGGATGGCACATTGTCACCCGCTACGAGCTCCTCTGTGAGGAGGGGGGTGGACCAACAGACCAGACCAGAGCCAAACCCTGGTCCCACTAGAACCTCCACAACTCATGGGATCCTTTAAATTGGAATAATCTTGGCTACATAGCTTTAAGTAGCCACTGGGGCTCATATGAGGCATTTCATTACATTCAATGCTGGGCTGTGGTAATGATGCACATCAAAGCAGTCATTAGGATAACCAGATGAAGCCATTCTATTAATGCAATTCTTTAAAAGAGGAAAAATTATGCACAAAAATTTTTTGTGCATAATCTACTAGAGCAAACACTCCAACTTTGTCTAAATGAACACCAACATAACTTGAAAAACAAGAAAATTAAAAATAACTATACAATTTAATATTGAATATATCAGATTTTCAGATCAGCTGCAAAAATGTTAAATATCACCAATTGTTCATTAAATGTTATTATTCTCTCAGAATAGTATATGATCTTCATTTTAATAGATTTTCAGTTTAATTAACTGTAATATGGCATTTGAAATATGCACCTAATTCAGACAACAAAATTTATAACTCAAAACGTTTAGAATTTATGAAAAATCCATTCTAATAGGATTGTAGAACAGACAGCGGCACACACCATAAGTAAAAATGGTAAGAATCGGTCAGAAACTGGATTTTTTTAAGCTGACTTAATGTTGAAACTCTAGTTTTAGAGATAATTGAAGTTGAAGTTATTGACAATGTAAAAGGTAGTTCTAATTCATTAATTTACTTTTATGTTTTAAAAAACATTGTTTGGCATTCATATTCAAATGTGAAAGTTGTAGTTCAATATGTGTTGAAATGAAGTTAAGAAAAAATACCCCCACCCTAAAACAAAATATAGGGAAAATTATAATAATTATAATGAGTTGGGGGATATATTTAGGGTGTACTTTATATAAGTCAAAAAGCCCTAATCTGGCCCCTAATCATCAAAACAATCTAAAGAAACAAGGAAAATAAGAGTTTGAAATCTGTGAAAAAATCAGTAAAAAAAAATTCAGTCCCAAGTTCTGCCAGTTATAACCAATTTATTTGTTGACCAATTTAATTTTATCTTTACACAGAGACGGGTATGCACACTCCAGGATGTAGACATTACAACAAAATCAGATAAAGGGAAAAATAAATCAATAAATAAAATAAAATCTCCCCTAAAAAAAAAAAATTGTGGAGATTGGTGAAAGTAACAGGTATTACCAGTGGACAATGTATTTGTATGATATACAACAAAATAGAGCATAATAACATATTTGTGTTATTATGTATTACTCGGCAATGCTATAAAGGCACCAGCTGCATATCCACTTTGTGGGCACTTCTAACTACAGTACTACTATTCTTCCTTGTGCATTGGACAGGTGCTTGCATCTATTACTACATTATCCCTCAGTTCCAGTTAATAGGAGCAAAAAAAAAAAAAAAAAAAAAAAATTGTCTAAAACCCGTTTCTGAAAATACTGGAATGAAACTTTCACAATGCTGAAGCCAATAAGTTGGAGATTTGTTTTGCATTTAATATTAATTTTCACATAATTCAAATATATTTTTTGCCCAGCCCCAGCTTATACCCCCATTTACAGCCCAGGCTATAGCAATGTAAGGGTTAATGACTCAAAATACTATAATGAAAAGAGAAAAATAAAGGCATTCTTAAATTTAGAAAAAATTTGTTGATACAAATACAAGTCTAAACTTGTCAGTGCTAATAATGTACTGCACAGTATATGGAAAGAATATATAAAATAAGACGTGTGAAATAATGAAGGCGATTAAAAAGTTAGGGTGCAGGTCCATTGAATTTAGTATATTCTGTACTACGTTATCTTGAGATGATTTCGGGGGTTTTTAGTGTCCCCGCGGCCCGGTCCTCGACCAGGCCTCCACCCCCAGGAAGCAGCCTGTGACAGCTGACTAACACCCAGGTACCTATTTTACTACTAGGTAACTGGGGCATAGGGTGAAAGAAACTCTGCCCATTGTTTCTCGCCGGCGCCCGGGATCGAACCCGGGACCACAGGATCACAAGTCCAGTTTGCTGTCAGTTCGGCCGATCGGCTCCCTATGTTATCATGTGTGTCATGATAAGATACTTTGATCATTGAGTTTACAAAATAATAGGGAAATAGTTATTGAATGAAGCATTAGAGAATATCAAATTAAGAGGTACAGTAACTTACTGTGCCTTTATAATATATATTTTTAAGAAGAGGAATGTGATGTCCTCTTAAGTCACGCAAGCATGTGATGTCCCGCCGAAGAACAATGGCCTGCAGGTAGAGATCTTCCATTTGTTCTCCAGTCCACTTCAAGTCTGGCAGCAGAATAAAACCAAGGTCGGGATCGGGATCTTCAAAAACGATGCGGTCTGCTTCTTTTTTGTGTTCCAGGATGTTATAAATCCACTGGGGAAAGATGTCCACTTAAAAATGGTTTTTCACATTTGCAATTAATTCATAGTTTTAAAACAAGTGTTTATACACTTGCCTATTTGTACTTATGGGAGTAAGAGTAGCACTAGGCCCCCTTCCTTCTAGCTACAGTAATGGATTTATTTTATTCCCCTTAACGTTTTCGTGCTTAATAATTCCTATCCTAAACATCTAAAGTCAAAGTTTAATCTTTCGTCAGCTACCCCAGTGTCATGTCAGAAAAAACACAAACTGAAACTAAATATGGAAAGTGTTTAAAGAACTTGCACCAATACTTTCTCACACAAAAAGTAACCAGGTTTTTTCTCATAAAAATGCAAGTCCATCTCATTTGTTTTGACAACTATGGTTGCATGCAGTATAGCAAAACAATGATATCCATATGTGCAAGAGCAAGAATAAGACCCAAGCTATATGTACCTTTTGCTTTTATGAACTCAACATTCACACACACAAAACACATTGTCAAGTGACATGTGTACTGAGAAGGAAATATGGCTGAGGTAGAAAGGCTACTGCACATGACAAGTTGTTGTGGTGGCAACTTGTGAGGTAGACAGTACTCACCTAGTTATATGTGCCAGTAGACAGTACTACTGATGCGCGCACGCACGCATGCACACACACATAGGTAATAGTTACCCACTTAGGTAATTACATACGACGAAGGCACACAAACATTCTTACCAAAACTGAGATGCAGACCTAGAAAACAGGATTGGTTCAACAGAAATTGCAAGAGGGCCAGAGACCAAGAGAGACAAAAATGGAATTATAGGAAGATGCCAAACCCCCAAATATACCGGCGATTCAAAGATGCGAGAAACAACTACACGACAGTGAGGAGAGAGGTAGAAAGAAATTTTGAAAAAGGGATTGCGGACATATGTAAAACAAAACCAGGCCTATTCTATAAATTCATAAACAACAAATTGAAGGTAAAGGTAGTGGTAGAGGAGGTAAGAAGGTAATGCAGAGGTTGAAAATGGGAAACAGATTTACAGAAAATGAAAAGGAAATGTGTGAAACATTAAACAAAAAGTAACTGTGTTTACACAAAATGAAATCTTCAGGGAACCAGACCCCAATAAGAATTCCAGAGAACACCTTAGAGCACATAGAGGTGTCTAGAGAGGAAGTGAAAAAAATGCTCTTGGGGCCAAGTAAGAACAAAGCAGTTGGCCTAGATGGAGTTTCACCATGGGTTCTGAGAGAATGTTCACCTGAGCTCAGCATTCCACTTCAACTGATTTTTCAGGCATCCCTGTGTACTGGTGTTGTAGCAGATGTGTGGAAAAAGGCCAACAGTTCCAATCTACAAAAATGGCAGCAGGGGAAAACCTGTATCAGATCTTTTTTTTCATTACATTAAATTACAGGCCTGTATCATTGACAAGTGTAATAGTCAAAATCTTGGGAAAATAATTAAAATTAAGTGGGTAGAACACCTGGTGAAAACGATATAATACCAGACAGTCAGTATGGTTTTCGATCTGGAAGATCCTGTGTAACGAATTTACTCAGTTTCTATGATTGAGCAACAGAGATTTTGCAGGAAAGAGATGGTTACGTTGACTGCATCTATCTGGACCTAAAAAAGGCTTTCAACAGTTCCACATAAGAGGCTGTTCTGGAAACTGGAACATATTGGAGGGGTGACAGGTAAGCTTCTAACATGGATGAAAAATTTTCTAACTGATAGAAAGATGAGGGCAGTAATCAGAGGCAATGTATCAGACTGGAGACATGTCACAAGTGGAGTACTACAGAGTTCAGTTCTTGCACCAGTAATGTTCATGGTCGACATAAATGATCTACTAGATGGAATACAGAATTATATGAACATCTTTGCTGATGATGCTAAGATAATAGGAAAGATAAGAAACTTAGATGATTGTCATGCCCTTCAAGAAGACTTGGACAAAAGTATATGGAGCACCACTTGGCAAATGGAATTTAATGTGAATAAATGCCATGTTATGGAATGTGGAATAGGAAAACATAGACCCCACATAACCTGTAAATTATGTGAGACATCTTTAAAGAATTCTGATAAAGATCTACGATTGGTTCTAAATAGAAAACTATCACCTGAAGACCACAAAGAACATTGTGGGAGGAGCCTATGCTACACTTTCTAACTTCAGAATTGCTTTTAAATACATGGATAGCCAAATAATAAAGAAATTGTTTACGACCTTTGTTAACCCAAAGCTGGAATATACAGTGGTTTTATGGTGCCCATATCTTTTCAGAAGCACATCAACAAACTGGAAAGGGTGCAAAGACATGCCACTAACTGTCTCCCAGAACTGAAGGACAAAAACTACGAGGAAAGGGTAGACATTAAATATGCCAAAACTAGAAGATAGAAGAAAAAAGAGGCGATATGATCACTACGTACAAAATAGTAACAGGGATCAATAAAATTGATAGGGAAGAATT